CACAGAGCACTTTATTACAAGAAAAAAACAAAACGCAAAATGAATGTGAGGTCAATTTACCTATTGTATGTAATTACAGCCATAACAATAAGGCATTAAGGAAAATCCTAAATAAACATTGGCCTATTTTACTTCAGGACCATGCCCTATCCCAGATTCTACCACCAAAACCCAAGATAATATTTAGGGGTGCAGCTAATTTAAACCGACTTTTGGTAAAGAACCACATTAAAAAAACTAAAACTACTACCTTCCTAAATAAAGGAAAGGGTTTTTACGGGTGTGGTACTTGTCTTGCGTGTAGGAACACCAACAATAAAAAGAGACATATTAAGACTTTTAAGAACTGCAATAACGATGAGGAATTCCCTATTAAAGAACTTATAACTTGTTACTCAAACAACGTAATATATTTATTGGAATGTCCTTGCGGTTTAAAATATGTGGGACGCACCAAACGGAATTTGCACACTAGGATTGAGGAACACACTAGAAATATAAAGAAAAAATTTGAAGGACACAGTGTATCACACCACTTCACCCTAGCCCACAATAGTGATCCCACTCAATTACTCTTTATGGGTATACAAAAGGTTAAGGGGAATTGGCGGGGAGGCGACCTTAATAAATTACTGGGACAGAGTGAGATGAGGTGGATATTCAACCTCGGGACCTTAAAGCCCCGGGGTTTGAATATAGACTTCGAACTCTGCCATTTCATTTAAATGGGTATCTCCCTTTTTTTGGGGTTCAATGGAATTTATCCATTGTAATCCACTCTACTCTTTTTGTACCCTTGTTTTTCTTTTATACATTTTTCTTATTCATTTTCAATCAGTGGCATATTATTTATGCCCAAACTTATAAACATTGTGAATACCACTTAAAGAAGATTGATTTAACCACCTTTTGGGAAAATACCCAATAAGGATATCTATTCCAGCACATATGTATGTAATATCACCTTTTTAATGTATAAAAATATATGTACCATCGGCACTGTATGCACCTTTAACAATGTAAATATATTAGTCTATATGCACCACAAATTATATTTTATCACTGGGAATGTAATATCTGACATTATGCAATTTTACTGTCATTTCAATTCTGCAGCCCTTTTTGCCTTTTTTTTTTTTCTTGGCTGGATGGCGATCACATGATTAGATGATGTCACTTCCGCCAACCACCCAGTTGAAAACAAGCACTTCCGCCAACCAATGCTGCCTACCAATGAAAAAATAGACAAATAAAGGCGTCAACATCATTAACCTATTAAAGGTACACACATACACACACATTATGTGAAATTGAATCTGATTGGACAGAATGAACTTAACTCATTAAAGGGGAAGACCCAGATGACATTTAAAATGGAGGATTCAGAGGACCAACATTACAGCTGACTGAAGAAGCTCTATTTGAGAGTGAAACGCGTATTGGCCATTTTTAAAGGACTTTTATTTGAGGACTTTTATCATCTTTGTTTTTATGTTTATTTTAAACTAATAAATTCACCATTTTTATTCAATACCTCATCCAAGTTCCTTTTGGAGCCTCCAAGGAATCCTCACAGGGGTAGTGCCATCCCCATTCAAACTGGCACAAAATCCACATACCTAGAGCCGGGATTCGTAGGCTCAGGACCAGGTGAGCACCCCATTTATTGAACACATATCTGTGCCATCTATCACCATAAGTCTACACATTGGTTTGCTTTCTTCTCTTTTTTTCGTGTTCCTGAGAAATTCTTCAAGCCGAAGTAGGAGGGTGGTGCTACCATAACAGCACACAAGCCTTTATACGGAGCCAGTGTTTTCTATATACAGGCTCCTTGAAATGTGAGTGTAATATTCAACACAATATTATTATAATCACTGTGAAGCCATTTTTTAGTACCGTCTACACTATATTGTATTTTCTGTATTTTATGTTGACATGTACCCCATATTTTACCATTGAATGAGACTACGTTTTGGTAAGATTTATCTGTGTTTGAGCGCTCCACTTATAGGTGTAGGTCCTTGTCACTTACACCGCACCAATATCTACAGTAAAATACCAATTAATCTACTCGTTAATTAAGCTGCACACTTCAAAATGGATATCCAAAACACACATTATCACCGAATAAAATTTTAACAGCTGTATTCAGAACATATTATTGTAAGGTAGACCAATTTTAGTTTGTATCAGATTTATTTAAGGGTTTTTTATGTATACATGTATTTCCTTAATCACCTTATTAATTAATCTACTATAGTATTGTTTAGAAAGAAGGGATGCCTTTATATAGCGCGCTCTTAACAGATATTTGTATGAAACTTGCATTAAATAATTGCAACATATGTACCCTGTCAATAGAATTTCTCTCTTATAATCTTATAGAATTTTTGGACCAGATTATACAGACATGGTATCACCTGCATTTGTCAGAACTCCCAAAGTCTCAACATTTTTTATACTATACCATGTTAAAAGGCATGGCAAACAGACCGGTCAAATTGAGTGCTTGAAAGCCATAATAACACAGGTAAAAACCTTACAAATACCAAATACAAGAACATTTGACGCAAACTGTAATGTTTTCCGAGAAATTAAATAACAACTGTTTCAAGTCCCCCCCATAAAGTTTCAAATTGCCCTTATTAATATAAACAGCGAGAATAGATAGTGAAATGGATATTCTATCCTTCAGCGATCACTAGAAATTCAGCACCACAAAGACTGTGTAACAAAATAATGTATTTCTTCCTACTCATTTACTAACACGGGGAATTCGAAGAGCTGAGTTAACCATCTGGAAATCTCTTTATTGTAAGTTAGAGAATACTATATACTGTCCAAAGCTCCTTATTCCCCAAATATTTCTATAAAAATATAAATGAAACAAATAAGTGGAAAATAAAAATTGTTTAAATTGATAGTTTCAATTTTTACATTTGTCTGCAAAGCAATGTATGCACAAGCTTTCTGTGTTATGATATTTGGCACTTACCTGTAGCTGGTCAATTAGCAGACAGGCCTTTAAAAAAAGAGATCAGCCTGCTGCAGAGTGAGGGAGAAAAAGCCAGCTAGGAGAGCTGAAGGAGAGAGAACAACAATTGTGTTTATTGCAAAGCCATTTCTTTGATTTTTGGAAAATTGGTAAGTGGGAAAGCCACCCAATTACAGATAGTGATTTCTGTCTAGTAAGAGCAAGGGATTTTGTTTGTTTTTGTTATTATTTAAAGCACCTGCTTTCTTATAAAATAAAAAGGAAAACCGAGCTGAACGTGTCCTGGACTTTGTATACCCTAGAAGGCTGTGGTTACTGCAAGATCTGTGACAATCCTACCTGTAAAAGAGGTGGTTTGTTCCAATATGTTTATATGCATTCCTTTGCAAACATTGCTTTCAATGATAAAGTGCTCGGTAATGGAGGGGTCAATGACTAGATCGTGGGCCATTGGCAGTCTTTGCGGACTGGTTTAGTTTAAACCCCTTAAGGACACATGACATGTGTCATCCCTTTATTCCAGAAGTTTGGTCCTTAAGGGGTTAAAAGCAGTGCTGTCTGAACCTTCCAACAAATTCATCAGAGGTTATAAGAGGCAATAGGCTAATCCATCTGGTACTGAACAATAATTCTTAAGAAAAGGGAAGCGAAATACAAAAAAATAACTGTGTTATAATCAGTTAGCTTGCTAGACAGAAGATGCGTAATAATCTTCAAAATATCTCCATTTGTAGATGATAGTGATAAACACTTGGCTGTGCCCAGTGGGATTCCATAGCCATCAAACATTACGGCTGCTCGGAATAAAACACCATTTTAAGTCGTTTTTAGCTGTTGGGTTGTGCAAATATCGCAAATGGTGCTTTAATAAACGGACTAACAGAGCAATTTGGATTAAAATTGTATCATGTTATCATATCTCCTCTAAGACATGCCTTTTTTCTAATGTACACAATTACACTTCTTAATGTTCACTTTGAACATTTATTTCCCTTATTAACTTTCAATCCCGAGTTCCATCACAGCCTTATTCTAAGATGTCTTTTTTATGTTCCATACATTCTTAGTCAATTTACGGATTCTGCTTTTACTCTTAAAGGGACACTGTAGGCACTGTATCTGCTTCATTTCATTAAACTGATTATAGTGTCCAGAGTTCCCAAGTTCCATAATTTCATTCAGCATTAAACAGTTTTTCATATTTTTATGTTTAAATGCTAAATTAGAGTCCCCAGCAGCCCCTCCCCTCTGTGCTGCTTCAGCAAATGAGGAAGTACTATCATGAGCAGCAATGGGCAGCTATGATTGGCTGAGACTGTCAGCTGTCTATTTTTAGCCTATCAGAGCTCCAACTAATGGTATGAAGGGTATGACTTCAAGTAAGTGTGTAATCTCTGCCTTGGCCACACCTCCAGAAGAGGCCGGATTTTGGGTGGCCTTGATCCCTTATTTAGTGTTAAACTGCTCTAAAATGGTTTAACATTGTATGGAGAGACAGTGCCAGGAGATTCCTGCATCATAACCAATTCAAAGAGATAAAATGATTATAGTGAGTACAGTGTCCCTTTAAAGAAATCTAAAAATATTTACTTAAATGTGTCCTGGATATGAAATACAGAACGCCTCTAAAAGGGCAACTCTGAGGAGCACATGAGGAGACTACTGACTAACTGCTATGTGAGAATTTGGTTCCTCTCCTGAATGAAGTCTTTGGTGTGAAAGAACAGAATTACTGGAAAAACCTTTCCCACATTCAGAGCATTAATAGGGTCTCTCTTGTGTGAGTTATCTGATGTTGAATGAGATGTGCTTTCATACTGAAACATTTCCCACATTCCGAGCACATGAATGGTTTGGTCCCTTTGTGAATTCTCTGGTGTCGAAGAAGATTTGAATTTTGGACAAAGCTTTTTCCGCACTCAGAGCACTGAAACAGTTTCTCTCCTGTGTGGGTTCTTTCATGTTTAACAAGGCAGGCTTTTTTGTGAAAACTCTTATTGCATCAGGAGCAGGAAAAAGGTTTAAATGTCGTGTGGATTTTCTGATGAGCAGTAAGATTTGATTTTGAGGAGAAACATTTCCCACATTCAGAACAAGCTGGCTTTGGCATTTTCTGGACTGCCTGATGTTTAAAAAGATCTGAACTGCTGGTGAAACATCTTTGACAATTGGAGCATGGGTATCTCCTTTCAGCAATCTGTGTTTTATGATGAAATATTCCTGTTTCTGTTCTTTGCTCTTCGATATCAGATGGATATTCTGTTTGTGTGTGCTTTGTGGATGTATAAATGTCTATTTCTGCTTCTTCACACGAGGTCGGTTCCTCTTTAAAATGAGTAGATGGATATTTCGCCTCTGGATGTTCTGTGGGTGTAGAAATAAGTTTAAGATATCCGGCTTCACATGATGCTGATTCCTCCTTAATATGATACTCTGTGGGTGTATAATTATCTGTAAAATGTACTTCTTCACATATAGGAAACTCCTCATTTTTCAAACTGTAATTTTGAATAATGTCTGGCTCAGATATTCCATTAAATTCTTCCACTTTAAGCTCTTTAACAATTACATCCTCTTGTATATAATCTCTTACAAACTGTGTATCAGAACCTACAGATACATTTCCGTCTTGAATGAAATCTGTTGGGAAAACAAAGAAATAATAATTGTATTTCTCATTGATTAAAAAAAAAAAAAAGGTAACAGTCAATTGGTGTAAAGATTAAGTCTTACGGTATTTGTTCAGTTCTGAATTCCAGAGTAGTTGAAATCCAAACAGAGCACCTGGAGACGGTCTTCATTTTGGGAAATAGGTGGAAATCAAGATCACTGTGAGAGCATGCATTATAATTGTGCAGTGTTGTGGGGATATTTATGGGGTGATGCGGCAAAAGGGACCTCACCACTGGTTTTTGGAGGGGACTGATTGCTAGCCCTATACTTTGGGACTATGGCCCCTGGGAGATTGGGCACTTTAACAACTGCATTTGTGCTTATGGACTTGTATTGGACCGTGCTGGCCCTTTAAGAACTGTCTGAGGACATATGGAGACTTTGTCGGATAATGCCCCTTTAAGACCACGTCCACAGACCTGTAAAATCATTTTCTCCCACTTGGTTCAGTAAATGGGGCTTACTGAACCAAGTACCACACAGGCGGACCACCCAGAAGTGGAAGCGTGCAGGCAATTTACCTCCCAGACTGGGAGCCTGCTGTAAGTAAATTGCCGACCGCTGGAGGGGGCCGCCGTTCGTACAAACGAAAACGGCCATCTTTATTCGGCCGAACTTAGACTCTGCGGCTGGAAACTAAGTCCCGTTTGACAGTTTGAATGTACTGCTATGTGACGAAGTGCCCTTCGCCGCTTGTGCCTGGAGAGGACTAATTGCCAGACTCCTACCACGTGACTAAGGTCCCTGGGAGACTTTGCCAGTTAAAAACACTATTTGGACTTATTGGTGTTTAAAAGACTGTTCTGGCCCTTTAATTGGAACTGGCACAATTCTGCACCTTTGATTGCATAGGAGAATGTGCCTTTTCCTGTCCTATTGTTCTCCAGCAGGGCGTTGTCCCAGGGACACTGCCAGACCAGTTTAAACTGTCTGCTTTGTCCCTCCTCAATCTCTATTTCAGCCCTTGCTAAACTTAAACCCCATGGTGATTTGACTGTGTTCGTGGGATCTGAGGCTGTTCGGATATATTGAGCGCTCAGATCCAAGCTATCTGGGGGTAGGTTGAATGTGGGGGTTCTGTTCAGTATGATAGGAATTATGTATTTTTGCTGTTGTTGTGAATAGAGATATTTTCTGTACCTGGAGATAATTGGCTTACCACATCATGCTTGCAGTCGGTCAAAAAGGACTTCCACCTAACTTTTAAACCACTGGAGGGAATGTCTGATGTTTTAGTATGTTTGTATTTGGAGTATCCTGATTCTGAAAATGTAAGTTTTATGTGAATGTGATGTATACTTTTAAAGTTATGAATATTGTGTAAAACAGTATTTTCCTGCCTGTGATAATTACATTAGCCCATCGTGTTCAGTAATTATATCACAGGCAGAGGGGAGGATTTTGCTGTAATGGATGGGAGTGTTTAACTGTATTGTACGTGTTTGATTGGCTGTTCCACAAGACCATGTGGGTGGTACTGTGTGTGTAAAAACTTGCATAAAAGAGAGCCCTTTGCTGCCATTAAACAGAACTGCTTGACCCTTTCTTGAAGCCTTGGCTCATGCTTGGGAGATGGGATAACTACACTCTTGGGGATTGCCATCATCACACTATACTCCCCAGAGTAAGCTCTAGTAAGAGCTGTGCTTGTTCCTGTTACGCTCTCTGGAAGAAGAGAGGCCTGCCCACTGGAAGCTGGATCCTGACCATGGGTCCAAGGTGGGTGAAAGACGGCGAGACCCTGGCGCAGCTGCATCACTGGAAGTGGGGTCTGCAGTGCTGATGGTGTCGGTTGAAGTGCTTGGAGTCCTCAGCAAGCGCTAGGAGCATCAATTGGCGGAGGTACTCGGTCGGAGTGCCAGCGTTCTGTCACATGCTATACTGAGCCAATTGCACCAATGGTGCCCCGTTCGTGCCTTCAAATAGGACTTAGTCATTTTTCCTGCCTGAAATAGACCGACCGCACAGCCCAAATCAATGGAACTGGTTTGGGCATGAAAATGTGCTTGCGGTCAGTCAGAAAGGACTTCCAGTTAACTTTTTAACCGCTGGAGAGATTTGTATGATTTTTGAGAGTGTTTATATTTAAAGTATGCTGATTATTAATATGTAATTTTTATGAAGATTGAATGTATAGTGTAGCAGAGCTGCAATGTTAAATCCCAAGATCTCCGCTGGTATAGAAGGTAATCCAAAGTAAAGTGCTGGAAAAGCAGGCAATATCCCAAATCTCCCAGTAACCGGACAAAACACAGTTCTGAGAGTCAACTGAACTTTTAATCACATGTCACAGTATTTATGCAAGGGGTTTCCCTACTGACACTACAGGGGTTGTACAGTAGGGGACTACATGCGGAACTTAACAACCCGGACATTTCTCCCATCATGCACTGCTGCACGAGAGGGATACTCCCACTAGAATATCCTGTTAAGTGGATTATCCCTCCGTGCAGCAGAACTGTCATTTTACACAAAAATACACAACTTTTACATTATTCATCTTATATTAGCGAACGACTGTTCGGTAGATAGCATTTCGTGAAAGTACCGCTCAGATCCCAGCATAAATAACCGAACGCTGCACAAAATACACTTTTATATCATATTCTCCTAAAAGTACCGAATACATTTTGGGATCCCAATACCGAAAGACCGGGGCTCCGAACGGCCTGGAAGGCCAGCGGTGTTCGCGCCGCCGAGTAGCCGATTTAAGTTCCAGGCGCTCAACGACCAAACACCGCTGGGCTAACAAAGAATCCAAGATGGCCTTTGTTCATTTGCCGAACACGTGGCAGCGGCCATTTTAGCTCCAGAACGGCCAGCGGTGTTCAGCGCCCAAACTATGGAACTGAAAATGGACAGTTAATTGCGCAAACACCGCTGAGCCGCCAGCCTCCTTACTTCTGCATTCGGTAGTGGAACCTGTAACGGACCGTTTTGCACACAAGGGGTAAAAACCGTTTAGGCGATCGTCCCCCTTTCCAGAGATGCAGGCACAGCTATTGTAGAACACCAAACTCTCGAACCGCCAATAAGTGAATGCTCCAAACTCCCGAACGGCATCCAATATAGCACTCCAAACACACGAACAGGAACCATACGAATTGCTGCTAGCAGACGAATAGGAAAAGCATCCAAGCGGCTTACACTCCTAGCAATCAGTCTCTATCAGCATTCAGTAAATCCCCCAAAGACGAGACAAGGCTCCGTGTTGAGGGTCAAGCAGTGGTCTGTTTAATGAGGGCTACCTGCCCAGTATTTATGCAGGTCTCCCACCTGGTGGACACTCCCCTAGGGGACCAAATGGGAGACTGTGACAAAAGACAGACAAGTTGACAAATAGGACACACAGTCACATTATATTCCCACAATGCATCCTGGCTTCCTCCCCTCTGCCTTGGAAATAATTGAGAAGTAATTCAATTATCTCCCAAGACAAAGGCAAATCGCCATTATGCACGTGGGGATACTAAACATGAATTACTATTAAAATACACTATGTAAGACACATTACATTAAAACTATACATTCAACATGTAGCCCAGGTCTGAGCGCACATTATTAAGCGAATGGCGCTCACACCACATGAATACAGTGTAATCGCCATGGAGCCAAAGTCTTTACACAGTCAGTTTCTCATGCGAATGGGCTCCATGGGATTCCTATCTGGGGTATAACACATTCAAGCAAAACTACCGAACCAAAACTACCAAAACTGTGTCCGATTTCAGTTCCATGAATTAAGCGTCGAACACCGCTGTGTGTTCGCATGTTTAAAATGGCCGCGACCTCGTGTTCGTGATACGAATGGCGGCCACCCAGCATTCGTCAATTAAGCTGTGGTTAACCGCAGCTTCAGGGAGGCTTATTACCGGCACACTCCAGCTCCCAGGTGGTCCAGTCATTCGTGCGGTTGTTCGATAGATTGAATCTACTGAACACCAGGCAGAAAAGAACGAATAAATCTTTTCTGCAGGTAAAAAAGATGTCTTTTAACATGGGGCCCATAGTCTAAAGGCAACAGGCGAGCAAACAGGCTTCTCCAATGCAATGTGGCGAGATTGGTCTCGTCACAGAACCGAATCACTGTTCATTCGGTAGTTTGACCGTATGAACAGCATCTCCCCAGATAGCCATGCCATGGAGCCTATTCGTGTAACGAAAGACTATGGGAAAGATTTTGGCTCCATGGCGATTTAACTGTATGTATATGATCTGAGCGCCATTCGGTAGTAATGTGCGCTCAGATCTAAGCTATCTGGGGATAGGTAGAATGTGTATATTTTATGTAATAAATGTAACCGTATGTAATTTTATGTCATTTACTGTCTTTTTACTGCCATGGTTAATGGAGTTTTGCCTCTGTCCTTGGAAATAATTGGATTACTTCCCAATTATCTCCAGAATAGAAGACTGTGGAACTGGTTTTGGGCAGAACAACCATACTTCATTTGGTCAAATAGGACTTTCCTTTAACTTTTTAACCCCTGAACTGATTACCCTGATTTTTGAATATGTGTATATTTCAAGCATGCGGATTCTGAATATGTAATTTTTTATGAAGATTGGACGTATATTTTTAAAGTTATAGCACATGTATAAAAACTGTATTTTTCCTGCTTGTGATAATTATGTTAACCCATTGTGTACCATAATTATATCACAGGCAGAGGGGAGGATTTTGTGTATAATTGCTGGGATTGTTTTCTGTAATGTACGTGTGTTATTGGTTGTTCTGTAAAACCCTGTGGGCAGTACTAAGTTTGTGGATTGGGAATAAAAGAGGCTGTATGTGCCAATACAGTCAGTTCTGCTTGACCTCAAAATGAAGTGTCGTCTCGTTATTGGGGGAATTGGATTGTATGCTGATTGCCAGGAGTGTAAGCTGATTGTATGCGTGACGAGAGCAATCTCGCCACATTGCTTTGGAGAAGCCTGGTTGCTCGCCTGTTGCCTTTGGATTATGGCCCCATGTTAAAAGGCTTGATTTTCCCCTGCAAAGACAAGAAAGCTGGGTCATTTGGTGCTTGCCCTGTTTGAGCAGTGACACCCCAGATAGCTATGCCATGGAGCCCATTCGTATAATGAAAGTCTATGGGAAAGACTTTGGCTCCATGGCAATTGAACTGTATGTGTGTGCTCTGAGCGCCATTCAGTAATAATGTGCGCTCAGACCTAAGCTATCTGGGCATATGTTGCATGTCTGTATTTTATGTCATAAATGTAACCTTGTGTATTTTATCGTATTTTACTGTCTTTTTGCTGCCATGTGTTCAATGGAGTTTTGCCTCTGTCTTTGGAGATAATTGGATTACTTCTAATTATCTCCAGGATAGAAGACTCTGTGGAACTGGTTTTGGGCAGAAAAGCCATGCTTCCTGTGGTCACAAAGGACTACGATCTATCTTTTGAACCACTGGACCAATTTGTATGATTTTAACGTATGTTTGTATTTGGAGTATGCTGATTCTGAAAATGTAAGTGAATGTGAATGTGATGCATACTTTTCAAGTTATGAATAATGTGGAAAAATTTTATTTCTCTGCTTGTGCTAAATTACATTACCCATTGTGCAAGGTAATTGAATCACATGCAGAGAGGAGGAATTTGTGTGGGAGTGTCTGAGTGTATTGTATGTGTTTATTGGTTGTGTTCCAAAACCCTGTGGCTGGTACTAATGTGTAAGAATGTGTACATAAGCACAATAAACCCACAGCTCTGTCTGACCATTGCTTGACCCTCAACACGGAGCCTTGTCTCGTCTTTGGGGGGGATTTACTGAATGCTGATAGAAACTGATTGCTAGGAGTGTAAGCCGCTTAGATGCTTTTCCTATTCGTCTGCTAGCAGTGATTCGGATGGTTCCTGTTCGTGTGTTTGGAGTGCTATATTGGATGCCGTTCGGGAGTTTGGAGCATTCACTTATTGGTGGTTCGTGTGTTTGGTGTTCTACAATAGCTGTGCCTGCATCTCTGGAAAGGGTGATGATCGCCTAAACGGTTTTTACCCCTTGTGTGCAAAACGGTCCGTTACAGTATGCTTTTCCTGTTCAGCTGCTTACAGCATTCATATGCTTGAGAGCATTCATATGCTTCTCCTGTTCGGTGGTTGTGGTGTCTGCTGCAGTGCTTGGAGTCCTCAGGAAGCGCTAGGAGCATCCTTCAACTGAGGTACCTAGTCGGGGTGCCAGGTGATCTGTTATGCTAGGTTTGCCACATGTAGTTTTAAAGTTACAGTACATGTATAAAAAGTATATTTTTCCTGCCTGTGATAATTACATTAACCCACTGTGTTCAGTAATTATATCACAGACAGAGGGGAGGATTTTGTGGGAATGAATGGGAGTGTTTTACAATATTGTACATGTTGGATTGGTTGTTTTTCAAAACCCTGTGGGCGGTACTGTGTGAGTAAAACGTGCATAAAAGCAGGGTGTTTCACTAAAACTTCAGTTCTACTTCACCCTCAATTTGGAGTTCCGTCTCTTATTGGGGGCAATCTGCTACAAGGGATTGCTATGCTAGTCATACTCTCTTGCTATATCACTACTAAGCTCTTGTAAGAGCTTGTTCCTGTCTTGCTCTCTGAAGGAGTCTGCGGTGGTTATGGTGTCAGCTGGAGTGCTTGGAGCCCTCAGGAAGCACTAGGAGCATCCTTCAACCAAGGTATCCAGTCTGGGTGCCGGGTGATAAATATTAAAACAATATTTTCATAAAAATTATCAAAATTTAATTTATTATATCAAAATCGATATATCGGCACTGTCCAGAATTTAATAATATAATAAAGCTGAGAACTTCCCACTATTTTTATTCTCTTAGAGTCCATTCATTTGAGGATTTTTACTCCATACAATAAAATTACAATTTCTTTATAGAAATATAATTTATTGTGACAATAATAATAAAATGTAACATGCACTCAGTGAATATTTAGGTATAACATTGGCATACAATATAGCAATATTTAAACAAGTACAGCAACTAAAAAATAACCAGTTGCCAAGAATTTAGCAAGATTTATGATAGGTAAACAATCTCACAGCACACAGAACACAACAGTGAAGCGAGAAGCCATAAAATCTTAGCTATCAGTTAGATCCTGATTAACTATTCCACTGCTGGCTAGAATCCTCCTAGGCATATAATATCCTATTCTCATGCAATTTTCAATTAAAATAATGTTCATACCAGATCATTAAACATTCCTGGAACCATCCAATAAGAACAGCTTTAGCTTAATGAAGCAGTTTTGGTGTATAGAACATGCCCCTGCAGCCTCACTGCTCAATCCTCTGCCATTTAGGAGTTAAATCCCTTTGTTTATGAACCCTAGTCACACCTCCCCTGCATGTGACTTGCACAGCCTTCCATAAACACTTCCTGTAAAGAGAGCCCTATTTAGACTTTCTTTATTGCAAGTTCTGTTTAATTAAGATTTTCTTATCCCCTGCTATGTTAATAGCTTGCTAGACCCTGCAAGAGCCTCCTGTATGGGATTAATGTTCAATTTAGAGATTGAGATACAATTATTTAAGGTAAATTACATCTGTTTGAAAGTGAAACCAGTTTATTTTTTTCATGCAGGCTCTGTCAATCATAGCCAAGGGAGGTGTGGCTAGGGCTGCATAAACAGAAACAAAGTGATTAAACTCCTAAATGACAGTGAATTGAGCAGTGAAATTGCAGGGGAATGATCTATACACTAAAACTGCTTTATTTAGCTAAAGTAATTTAGGTGACTATAGTGTTCCTTTAATACATCTTTATCTTACTCCACCTGCAGGTATGGAGTTTTTATAACCATATATTCTTTTAGTTAACTAAGATTTCTAATAATTGAAATCTGACCGAGATTTATCCAGGCATATATTCCTGCAATTAGTAAATCTTTAATCTAAATGAATTAAGTAAAACCAGCATAATTACCAGTTATGCTGTAGATGCCCTTATCAGATGCTCTTCTTATCAGATGAATAGATAGTCCCAGGAATTGAATGCAAGTATGAATATGATTGTATGGAGGTGTGCATGTAATAGAGAAAGTGGTGTTGGTTTGGAAAGTTGAGTCAAAGAGAGTTTGAGAGAGTGTAAGTCCCAGAAAGTGTGTATGTTTGTCCTCAATTTCTGTCTTGAATGTCTGTCCTGGATTTCTCTGTCTTGAATCTTACTTTTTAAAGGGCCAAACTTTCTGCACGTCATTAGTTGATCGGCCAGTAGGGAACTGTAGGTGTGTCCACCTTTATCTAGTATTATCTAGTTTTTGGTCAGTAGATGGCGCAATAACATCACCAAAATTTCTTGTCCTGGAAAGAGTTAACTAAAAATGATGATGATTTTGACGTAATTTGGCTAATCTATAATGGCCATTATAACTCAAATTTGCTGCCAGTTCAAAGCGTTTACCCGAGTCTTCGTGGTGGCGATTTCAATCGGTTTTCTAAATTTGACACCTCCTAACCTTAATTTCACCCTATTTCTTACAATGGGACCTTGTAAGATTTAGAAAGTAAAATTAATTACTTTCTAAATTTTACAGTCACTGGTATCTGGCCTTCTGTGAAGTTGTGAGACATTATTTTTCTATTCCACTAACATTTATTAAATAATATATTTCTTCATGAATATTTATCCATGAATGGTCTATATTACCTTAATACTGATTATATGTAATTAATATAATAGTAAAATAAGTGTATAGTGTATTTAGATGTATGTATATATATATATTTGTCTCTCTGGGTTAGTTTTCCACCCCCATCCTTGCTGTGAGACTCATTGCCTTGTTTACATATGTATTCCTTAACTCAGACTTGAATGACTAAAGAGAAATTCTGTGTCTTTCTTAGCCTGTAAATCCAAAATGGAGTTAGTTTTGTTCCGAGTGTGATTGACAATATACACTTTTAATTTCTATCTTAGCACAAAATGTCTGCCGATATAATATACTGACAGTGTATACAAGTTCAATATGCCGCACAGGGGCAGTATACAGCAAGTACATAGACCTGTATTACCATCAAGTTAAGCAGTGGTAACTAAGCCTGTCCACTTTCAGGTCATTGTTTTGTGTGATTTCAACTCAATCCTGAGAAGGGTTGTATGTAGGATGGACCAGGATGCGTGATAGAGATGGCCCAGGCTGCAAGAGACAAATGGCCCAGGCTGCGAGAGACAGATGGCCCAGACTGTACGGACATAGAAAGTGTACTCTGATTCTGGACCCTGACAGTTTCAGCTTGTAAATCATTTTATCAGCACAGAGTGAGCTCCATGTTAGAAGTCTCATATCAGAGGATACTGCACATCATGCTCCTAGAAGGGATGCTACCGGGTCAGTCAGAGAAACTCATAAAATCCTTTGCCAGGGCTCTACTCACTAACCACGATGGGGCAAATGGAAATTTTGACCCCTGTGTTTATTAAATGGAGGATGCAGGGCACTTGGAAAATATTTCCCTTTATACAAGTAGAAAACATAGCCACTGATAAACCTTCTCTTACCCATTGAGCTGATGGGCTGGTGATTTTCTTTTATTACATCCTTGTTAATATCTTTATTTTCTTCTAAACACTTGGTCTCCTCCATGAAGGAACACACAGTGACATCCACACACCCTATAGGAACCTGAAACACACAATACAAACATCATCCAGACACAATCCTTGGTTTTACTGTATAATGTCCCATTCCCAGCAGTCTCACCTCTCCAGTCAGCAGCTCAATGATCTGATTGGTCAGTTCCAGGATCTTCTGATCATGTTTTTTCTCATGGATCAGGACGGGAGGCGGAGGCACCGTGCTGGGATTCTGTGCCATGGGGGAGCCTTTGAATACATTTGGATTGCTACTGAGTGAGACATACTCACTCGTCTTCTTCACAACAATATAATCCTACACAATGAGAAATAATTATAAAAATCAGTGCATTGTGTACTTCACTGTATATGAAGAAAAAAAAAAAACATTTATTTTTCTGTGCTATCTACTCACTCCATTGCCTTATTTTCCTGAAGACTTACCTTACCTAATGTATTAAAAAAATATCTCTATGATTGACTCCTGTCCAGTAAATGGATGAAACAGCCACTCGAGAAGTTTCAAATGAACTGTCTACAGGTGGTTGGTACACTGAAGAGGATAAGAGAGATGTCCCTGTGGTGTTTGCAGAATTTCCCACCTCTCCTGTCAGAAGGTAGATGATCTCGAGGGTGAGATGTAATATCTCCTCAGTCACTGGATCCTTGTCCATCACTGGTGAGTCTGAGGGAAGGTCCATACCAGACGTGTTTCACTCTCAGACAACATGAACCCTTAGTCGTGTTTTCCTTCCAATTTCTAACAAAACAAACAGAAAGAGATTGTGTCGGAGCACTAAGCATTATTTCTAGAAGTGAATTGGTAAGAGAATGCTATATACACATTGCACTGGCAAAAATATTAGCAAACAAATGGCTTCAAAGTTATTCTTCCATTGATATCTGTTTCTTCACTTTCAATATGGTAGTCATAAATGGATGGTGCGACATTTCCACTTCTTTTATTCACATATTATTCTGGTTTACCTTGCTTCTATTTATGTTATTCACTTTTTGTATCTGTCCTCTATCCTGGTCACATAGAAAACACATATTTAGAACCAGAAGAGCTGGTACATATTGAAAATACAGTATAACTAGCTGCAAAATGTCTGATATCAGGTAAATAATGATATTTCGCCCATTAAAGAACCACTATAGTGCCAGGAAAACATACTCGTTTTCCTGGCACTATAGTGCCCTGAGGGTGCCCACACCCTCAGGGACCCCCTCCCGCCCGGCTCTGGAAGGGGGAAAGGGGTTAAAACTTACCTTTTTCCAGCGCTGGGCGGGGAGCTCTCCTCCTTCTCTCCTCCTCCGTTCCTCCTCCCGGGCTGAATGCGCACGCGCGGCAAGAGCTGCGCGCGCAATCAGCCGGTCGATAGGAAAGCATTTACAATGCTTTCCTATGGACGCTTGCGTGCTCTCACTGTGAAAATCACAGTGAGAAGCACGCAAGCGCAAATGGCTGTCAATGAGACAGCCACTAGAGATAGGGGAAGGCTTAACCCATTCATAAACATAGCAGTTTCTCTGAAACTGCTATGTTTATTAAAAAATGGGTTAACCCTAGAAGGACCTGGCACCCAGACCACTTCATTAAGCTGAAATGGTCTGGGTGCCTAGAGTGGTCCTTTAAGTGCCAGCAATGTCCCCAGCATCGCAGTAAGGGGGTTAATCCGATACATGACACAAGCAGGATGGGGATCTGTATTGCAGTAAGGGGGTTAATCCGATCCATGACACTAGCAGGATGGGGATCTGTATTGCAGTAAGGGGGTTAATCCGATCCATGACACTAGCAGGATGGGGGGCTGTATCTCAGTAAGTGGGTGTGACGAGACCAATCTCGCCTCATTGCATTGGAGAAGCCTGTTTGCTCTCCTGTTACCTTTAGACTATGGCCCCATGTTGAAACGCTTGATTTTCCCCTGCGAAGACACAAAAGCCTGGTCATTCGGTGCGTGCCCTGTTTGAGCGGTGATACCCCAGATAGCTATGCCATGGAGCCCATTCATATAATGAAAGACTATGGGAAAAACTTTGGCTCCATGGCAATTGAACTGTATGTGTGTGATCTGAGCGCCATTCAGTAATAATGTGCGCTCAGATCTGAGCTATCTGGGGATATGTTGAATGTACCTGTTTTATGCAATGGCTGCACAGTTATATGTTTTTATGTGTTTTATTGTCTTTTGCTGCCATGTGTTCAATTGAGTTTTGCCTCTGTCCTTGGAGATAATTGGATTACTTCCCAATTATCTCCAGGATAGAAGACTCTGTGGAACTGGTTTTGGGCAGAAAAGCTATGCTTCATTTGGTCACAAAGGACTTCGATCTATCTTTTGAACCAATGGATCAATTTGGTTGATTTTGACATATGTTTGTATTTGATTCCGAAAATGTAAGTTTTATGTTAATGTGATGCATACTTTTCAAGTTATGAATAATGTGGAAAAACTGTATTTCTCTGCTGGTGATAATTACATTACCCATTGTGTAAGGTAATTGTATCACAGGCAGAGGGGAGGATTTTGTGTGGGAGTGTCTGAGTGTATTGTATGTGTTTATTGGTTGTTTTCCAAAACCCTGTGGGTGGTACTAATGTGTATATAAGAACAATAAACCCACAGCTCTGCCTGTTCACTGCTTGACCCTCAACACGGAGCTTTGTCTCGTTCTTGGGGGGACTTGTATGCTGTTCCAGTTCGACTGCTAGGAGTGTAAACCTATTCGCATGGTTTTTCCTATTCGGCTGTTTACGGCATTCATAAGGTTTCCTGTTCGGCAGATTGGTGTTCTGCAGTAGCTGTGCCTGTGTCTCTGGAACCCTTTTATGCCTGGGGGTGCCGTAACAGGGGGTTAATCCGATCCATGACACTAGCAGGATGGGGAGCTGTATCTCAGTAAGGGGGGCTTTATCACAGTGATCAATGACACTAGAAGGATGGGGGCTGTATCGCAGTAAGGGGGGATGCATCGCAGTGATCGATGGCACTAGAAGGATGGTGGGCTGTATCGCAGTAAGGGGGGGCAGTATCACAGTAAGTGGGGCTGTATCGAAGTAAGGGTGCAGTATCACAGTAAGTGGGGCTGTATCGAAGTAAGGGTGCAGTATCTCAGTGATAGAGGACACTAGCAGGATGGTGGGCTGTATCGCAGTAAGGAGAGGCAATATCGCAGTGATCGATGACACTAGAAGGATGGGGGCTGTATCGCAGTGATCAATGGCACTAGAAGGATGGTGGGATTTAACGCAGTAAGAGGGGCAGTGTGGCAAACCTAGCCACTTCAGGGTGTCAAAGACTGTGTTCGTATGCTATTTGTACATTACAAAGACTATAGCATTCGTACGCTAGTTTCATGAACAATATAGGATTACTCTGTTCGTGAAACGAATGAACTACCAAACGGGAGACCACACAAGGAAGTTGTGTGTCTCCAATTAACAAAATGGCAACATTGCTAACCGCAGACTATTAATGGTTTTATGGGTGGCTGCCGTTCGTTAAAGTGAACACGTGGCGGTGGCCATGTTTGCTCACGAACGCCCAGTGGTGTTTGGTCTTCGAGTGCCTGGGACTAAAATCGGCCACTCGACCTCACGAACCCAGCTGGACTTCCATACCTGTTCGTATGATTCCCCCGTTCGTATAAATCTGGCGGCATTCGACAAATTAAGCTGCACGAACCACCTATTCCAACAGTCATTATGTATTGTATATTGTTCATATTCTAATGAATGGATCTGAGCGGTATGTCGCCAGGTGGTGCGCTCAGATCCCAACCATTCAATGAAAGGTCATTCAGCTAATTCAGAGCAAAATTGTACAAGTTATGTATTTTTATGTTAAATGGTATGTTTTGCTGTACGGAGAGATAATGTAATTGACAATTATCTCTCCAGTACAGCAATGTATGATGGAAATAAGTAAGGGGGCTATAGTAAGGCTATATACGCAGTAAGGGCTATATAGCAGTAGAGAGCTGTATGTCGCAGTGAGAGCTATATAACATGTCGAGTGTATATATGCTGGTAAGGGGCTATATGTAGCAAGAGCTAGTAGAGGAGGGGCTGCAGTAAGGGGGCTGCAGTAAAGTTCTGTATAGCAGTAGGGTGTGCTGTATAGCAGTGGGCTATGTATAGTAGTGAGGCTATATACTTAAAGAGGCTGTTATAGCAGGGGGCTGTATGCATGATGGGGGCTGTGCTGTATAGCAGCAGTGGGGAGCTGCTGTGTATGCAGTGGTAGCAGTGGGGCTGTATGTCCGGTAAGGGGGCTGGGTGGGGCTGTGCTCATGGTGGGGCTGTATCGCAGTGGGGGCTGTATCATGGGGGGCTGTGATGGGGGCTGTGTGCAGTGGGGGATCACCCAGTGGGGGGCTGGCATAGTGGGGGCTGTATCGCAGTGGGGGGGGATCGCTGATCGCTGACTTGGCAAGGTCCAGGGATTTGAGGTCCCCCCCCCATATTGTGTGAATCTCCCCATGATGGAGGATGAAGCTGGCCCTTACAGTTAGAGGGATTTCCTGTAATTTCAGATTTACCAGCTGCAGCCCGAGTAATGGAGCTCACAAAGTCTTCTTTAACTTGGAAACCTGGAGCCAGAGACAGGGCAACCCAAAATACCCACAACCGGAAGCTATCTGCAACGTCATTTCCGCATACAACACAACTTCCGGGTAATGCGTTCCACCTTGCGTTCCACTGGTTGCCAGGTTTCTTGGAGGGTGCTCCGGCACTGTGTGAGCCTTGGATGATAAGAATGGGAATCCCATGCATGATGGGCGATGTACTGCTCCAATCACCCGCAAGAGGGAGCGTGAAACGCATAACCAGGAAGTAATGGTGGAACGCAGAGCCGTAATCTTAACTTATTACCGGAAAAGGCGGGGCGCGGTGGAACGCATGTTTCATGTTGGAACGCATTACCGGAAGTCTTTGTAACCACGTTGGAACGCATTACAGGAAGTAGAATGATAGTAAGTGTTTCCGGGGCCACAGTCAGTGCTGCAGGTCAGTGCTGGGTTATATTTATTATTATTATTATTATTATTATTATTATTATTATCACTTAATGTGTTCATATCAAGCAGAATGAACCCTGCCTGGATAATGGCTTTATTCCCCCTTCATTGCCCTTAATGCAGCCATTCAGCTTCATTAATTCTGGGATAAAGCGGCGCTATATGGGGGAGCTGGCCCCGTGCTGGGGATTCAGAGTAAAGCGGCGCTATATGGGGGGAGCTGTCCCCGTGCTGGGGATTCAGAGTAAAGCGGCGCTATATGGGGGGAGCTGGCCCCGTGCTGGGGATTCAGAGTAAAGCGGTGCTATATGGGGGAGCTGGCCCCGTGCTGGGGATTCACGTAAAAGCGGCGGCTATATGGGGGGAGCTGGCCCCGCGCGGGGGTTCACGAGTAAAGCGGCGCTATATGGGGGGAGCTGGCCCCGCGCGGGGGATTCACAGTAAAGCGGGGCTATAGGGGGGAGCTGGCCCCGTGTCGGGGATTAGACTAAAAGCGGTGTTATATGGGGGGAGCTGGCCCTGTGCGGGGGATGTACAGTAAACCAGCGCTATGTGGCTGTTGCTGGCCCTGTGCAGGGGATTCAGAGTAAAGCGGTGCTATATGGGGGGAGCTGGCCCCGTGCGGGGGATTCAGACTAAAGCGGTGCTATATGGGGGGAGCTGGCCCCGTGCTGGGGATTCACAGTAAAGCTGCGCTATATGGGGGGAGCTGGCCCCGTGCAGGGGATTCAGACTAAAGCGGTGCTATATGGGAGCTATCCCCGGGTGGGCGGGATTCAGACTAAAGCGGTGCTATATGGGGGGAGCTGGCCCTGTGCGGGGGATGTACAGTAAAGCAGCGCTATGTGGCTGTTGCTGGCCCTGGGCGGGGTATTCACAGTAAAGCAGTGCTATATTGGAGGAGCTGAATATTTTTCTCTGTTCTATATGCAGAATTTGGGGAGTGGTCACTCTCTGTGCATATTGCAGAGGGACACTGTAGATGTGGATTTCTAAACTCTAATGTTCCCCAACCTATGAATGTAAGTGTTAACCCCTCCCCATGTAAGATTTACTTACCTTATATCCTGCGGCACAATGTTCTCTGTGCTGTAGCTCCACCTCTTTGGCTGATATTATTAATGATCTCAGTCGTTTCAATGTTTACACATTGGGAGGCTAATGTGACATTATAGGTCCCCATGATATCATTTCCTGTTTTCTCTCTAGATTATTTACCAAACATGAAATCCCAGGGATCCCATTTTGAAAAAGCCCTAGTGGCGAAACGCATAAATTGTTTTATTAATTGTATAATTTATATAATTAAAGATTTTTTTGGTTACTATTTGTGCCAGCTATCTTTCTACACATTTTTTATTCTACATGGCATCTAATCGATTTTATTGCGTGTTTACAAGCCTATCCGAGGTGGGGATCATACCACCAACGCTGTTACCATAGTGCAGTCGGCCTGCACTATACTTATAAGTACATTTTCATTTTTTTAAAACAACTTTTATACTTTGTTAAACAGTGAGCACTATTAGCTGTTTTTTTATATATCCCTTTCCTGAGAGTTGGACATCATTCCCTCCAGAGGACAATCACCCGTATATCCCATAAGCAAGGATCATTCCGCTGTATGCCGGTTATACCTGAGCTGGCTATAGCTTATTTAAATGTGAGTGGAATATATATATCTTTTTCTCACATATATTGACCCTTACACTCTATACGATTGGTCTCTTATTTTATGTCTTTCATATAACGAGAATACTCGGACTACTTTAAACAGAGAGGAGACCCCTTCATCAAAAGCACCTTGTAATGGCTACCCAGGTAGTCAGAGGGTATCAGCCGTTGGAGACGTCCTTTTCTTCCCGGCAAGTCGCTGTATAGTAGTGGAGTTGCTTATTCCCATCCACTGGATCCAAGGCAGGAGTCAGGTAGAGCTCTTAAAAGAGCTAAGTGATTATGCTGCACATTCCCTTTCAGTAACGAGACGAGGCTACGTTTTGAAGGGTCAAGAAGAACTGGCTTTTAATGGCAGGTACTCTCTTTTCATGTGATTCTGCCCATGCAAGGGAGACACCCACATAATTAATAAAACAACCAATAAAACATAAGGTACATCCCACACATCTCCTCCCCTTAGATAAGCTTGTAACACAATTATCAGAGACACATTTTCCCCCAAGTTTTGGATGTACCCCAAATACCTGGGGTACATGCATAAATCCAGTGTCCCCAGATAGCCTTATTCTGGGGGACCAACATATTAAAAAATCAGAAAAGAGGGTGCGCCTTTAATGCAATATGTATAAAATGAACACGCAGAATAATATATAGCTAAAAATAAAGTCCAGGGTAATAGTCCACAATAAATGAAGGAAGATTCTTGTAGAACAGTGATGATTCGTCCCAAATGTAGGCTTGTGTTTTCAATGAGCCATATGTGGAGAGAAGTAGAGAGGAGATCCAATGGTACAGTATGTAAGTTAATATCGATATATATATATATAAAAATAAGTAAGTATTACTCACAATTTCCAGAGCTAAAATCCAGCTCTGGTATGAAGTGCGTGAAGTGGAATGATCCCCACTCAAGGATATATGGAGTTGTAGCTTGAGATTAAGTAGTCCAACAAGGATTCCGACCGAAAATTAAAACAGATAAAATATATAGTGCTCACTGAATAACTAAATATAGATTTAAAAGAAAGTATGAAATGTACTCACAATATATTGAGCAGACCTTACTGCTCGATTTGTAGCGTGTGGGTGGTATAATCCCCACCTAAGGATTCTTTTGGCGTTTCATAGAATGGTGAAAATCCAAATCGTCAGGCTTAGAAATAAAAAGTAAAATAGGAATGTGGCAACTAAAATGTTTTGGTCCAAAATTCCTTTATTATAACAATATAAAAAGTAATAAAACAACTTCTAGACGCGTTTCGGCTACAACAGGATTCTTCAAGTAGAATATAGTAAAAACATAAACCTGACTTACAATGCTTTATATAGGGTACATTAATTGTATTGGAATTCGAATATTCCCGCCAAAATGACGTCATAACAAGCTTACTTTTAAGATACATATCGAAATAGTGTGGAAATTATACAGACATCATGTACATACACTTAAAGAATAATTATGCATATAATTTTAAAAAAGAGATGCTAATGTGTAGAAAAGTTAATGAAAAAGATCACGTGGCGCGCGGCTAAAATTGCTTCCGCGTCACGTGAGTATGGTGAAACGCATGCGTCCCATATTAATGGAACACATGCGTATAGAGGATGTGCCAGCCGGGCGGGGCAAGTGGAGCGTTGCGTCATCAGAGGGGAGGAACCCTCTGGTGATCACGAGCATGGACAGTGTGAGCATGCTGTCTGCTCAAACAGACGAGCAGACAGCATGCCCACTAATAAACCAGGCGGGCCACAGGATCGAAACCCAAAGGGGCACAGTGCTACTGCATTGTGACTGGGGGGCAGAGAAAAACTAAATCAACCTTTTACATCAATAAATAATACAATATGCAAACTTAAATTATTATAATTCCTCATAGGTATATAATAGATATATAGGGGACTAATATAAAAAGGGGATATGGACTAAGAATATGGACTTTTACATTTGTGGCACTATTAGCGCTGATCCTATTTTGATTCTTTCTCCTAATATTAAAAAATCAGCTCATTCGGTTCAGTGGTTCGGGAGATATGGAGCTTTGAAGTTTTGACCGACCGCACCGGCAAAGTGACCGAAAATAGTTCCATAAGTTTTGGCCTTGTGGTTGGTCTTTGTTCGCGCATAAAAAAGTCCCGAAAGGCTTGCCATCCGTGCGTAACTCGACGTTCGCCAGAATCCCCATATGCTACTAAGTCTTTCTACCTAACGGCAGGTTGTTCGGTAGTTTTGGCACAATTTCCCGGTGCTATGGAGGTCTCGCCTACTCGAGTGTCCGATTTTAGTTCCAGACACTCAATGGCAAAACACCGCTGTTCGGGAGTTAAGATGGCCGCGAACACGTGTAAAAGTCCTGAAATGGGGGCCACCTAGGCACTTCTCAAAGCGTTCGTGGGTTTCCTATGCAGACCGTATTCGCAGATCATGGAGGTAAATTACCCATAATTAGGTAGCAGGGTGGTCCGGTGTTCGGTTGTGGCAAACCTAGCCACTTGGACAATATAAAGAGACTGTGCCCTTAAGGGTTGCCTGTATGTCTGTGGGGATATGGGTTTAACTAAGTGTAATGTATGCTGGCTGTAATAACGTGTATTTCCTGTATTGGCTATCTGCCGAATGCAGATAGCTGTATTTCATTTCGTTTCACGAACGGCACTTTTGCGGGCCGTTCGTGAACCAAAACAACCACCATGTAGTAGCCCACACACTTAGAGACGTGTGGCGCTTGTTAACCGATTGCAACAATGTTCCAATCGGTAATTAGAGGCTCTCCTAGGTGGCCGCCGTTCGACTACCGACCATGCGGCGGTTGGCCATCTTGGATACTTTGTTCCCTCAGCGGTGTTTGGTCGTCAAGCGCGTGGTACTAAAAATGGCTACTCGACGGCGCGAACACTGCTGAGCTTCCAGGCCGTTCGGGAGTTCCGGGCCGTTCGGTATTATGTTCCCTAGACTTCAATCGGCCTTTTGAATATATATTTTAATGAATGTGTTTTTTGTACGGCGTTCGGTTGTTTTAGCTGGGATCTGAGCAGTAATCTCACCAATGATGCACTCAGACCCCAGCTATCTACCGAACGTCCATTCGTGCAAATAGACTGCATATTCGAAAAGTTATGTATTTTAATATAAATTGCCGGTTCTGCTGCACGGAGGGATAATCCACTTAACGGTACATTCCAGTGGGAGGATCCCTCTCGTGCAGCAGTGCCTGATGGGAGAAAGGCTCTGTAATGTAAGTTCCCCATGTAGTCAACTCTGGGAATGCCCCTGGGATGGGACTCAGGAAACCCCTTGCATGGTGAATTGCATAAATTGTGGAGCTGAAAATAAAGACCTCAGTTGACTCTCAGATCTGTGTTTCGTCCGGTTACTGGGAGATTTGGGATATTGCCTTGCTTTTCAGCGCTTGACTGTGGATTACTTCCTGAACCAGCGGAATTTGTGGATTTAATATTGCCGAGCCGCTACATGGGTAGTTTGCATTCGTATGAATGCTTTAAACGTCCCGAACTGTTGTTTAGCAAAATCCCCATGAAAGCAGGTAAGGCTCTTCAATTTGTTACACACCTTAAAAGACATTTATTGTCACAGTGCAACTTCTAAATCTCTTTGTACTAATTTATATATAATACCAACTATTTTGTTTGCACTTTTTTATATGTCTCATTTATATGCTTTATACTATCTGTAGTCCACATTGATATATTTTGGCGCCGCTTAGCATTACTGTTGTTGTTGTTGTTTTCCAGAAATATATCACAGCCTATTTATTTAACCCCTTAAGGACCAAGCTTCTGGGATAAAATGGAATCATGACATGTCACACATGTCGTGTCCTTAAGGGGTTAAATTCAGATTTGAATTCACTAGACATGAGACACTATAGTGGTGAAAACATCCTTATTATCATGGATTGGGAGCTTCTTTTTTATATTTCACATCAGAGTATGGTATTTGTTGTTTCATGCTCTGTATACGTCAGGATTGACAATATCAAATACCAAATGATCATTTGTTTTATTTCCATCTCTTTTCCTTTCATATAGATATATATATACCTTCCTATCGCCCAATTTTAATTATATAGTCTTTCTACAATTTTATTTAACAACGAAATACACATACAGACTAACCTAGACAAACATTTGTTTGGATCGCAGTGCACCAGAAAAAAAAAAGAAAAAGATGAGGGGTTCGAGGCGAGGGTGTGACGAAAACCCTGTTTGGACAGACTCAGGGAAACAGCATTTCGTCTAAATATTCGTGTGTTTGGCTATTTCGTGATTTGTAAAAGAGCTGAACAAACTCCCGAACCACCCGACCTCCCACCAGGGTCGTGTGCAGCTCATTTACCCCCCAGAACTTGCGGTTAACCGCAAGGTAATTGATGAAAGGCTTGGTGGTCCGTGTTCGGCTGCCGAACATGTGGCGGTCGCCATTTTAAATCATCGAACGCTCAGCAGTAGATGGTCGTTGACCCTCTGGAACTGTTTTCGGACACTTATTTAGCCGCACACCGCTGAAGCGCACCAAGTTCCCGTCCATTCGGTTAATAACTCCCAAACACTTTACCGTTCGGGACTTTCCTATTATACGAGCAAGACCGACCCCAGGTAGCTGCAGTTATGAAACTCTTTTCGGATTCAATCTCCCGAACAACTGGTGAACTAAAAACTTTACTCGACGATATTGAAAACTGTGTTCGTGGGATCTGAGCACTATTCGTCTATATTGTGTGCTCAGATCCAAGCTATCTGGGAGTATGTGGAACATGGAGACTACATTCAGCCAAATGAGTTATGGATTTTAATTCAGTTTTGTCAAAATGTAAAAAGGACATGTTTTCTCTACCTGGAGATAATTAGGTTCTATCTAACCAGTTAAGTTAATTATCTCCAGGATAGAGGGGAGGGGTTGCACTGTTACTGTGGGTGTGTTTAATAATTGTATTGTAAACTGATTGGTTCTGTATATTTTGTCACAGTTTTCCACAAGGTCCCCTGTGGGAGTTTCCTTGCTGGGAGACCATCATAAAAGGCTGAGTTTGGCCATCAATAAATCAGATCGTTTTACCCCATCATGAAGTCTTGACTCATAATCGAGCTATATTCACTACTTCGTTGTGACGAGACCAATCTCGCCACATTGCATTGGAGAAGCCTGGTTGCTCGCCTGTTGCCTTTGGATTATGGCCCCATGTTAAAAGGCTTGATTTTCCCCTGCAAAGACATGAAAGCCGGGTCATTTGGTGCTTGCCCTGTTTGAGCGGTGATACCCCAGATAGCTATGCCATGGAGCCCATTCGTATAATGAAAAGGCTCTGGGAAAGACTTTGGCTCCATGGCAATTGTGTATGTGTGTGCTCAGATCTGAGCTATCTGGGGATATGTTGATGCTACACCATCCCAGGTCGTCTATCCTTTGGTACAAAGGGAAATAGATAGAGGTATTTTTAATTTAACCAATACCCCCCTGACAGATGATGAAATTAATTTATTGTCTAAAGGAATGAAGTTTGCTCCTAGTAAAACCTGTAATGATTTTAACCTCTTTATAGATTTAAAGAAATTTATTCGTTCACTAACTATTAAAAGACATTTTCTCTTAAACCCACCACCTTCGGATGACACCGTGAATGTTTCAACCACCCCTTTTAATTATAATTTTCAACGTAAATCACATTTTTTTCCTATACAAAGCAAAGGTCCGTTTTTAGAGACATTTGAACATATGGTGAATCAAACGTTCCAGCCTTTTAGTACAAATGATAAGAAAAGATCCCGAGCCTCTAATTTTACCAAAAGAGAGGAAGAAACTTTAAAAAATTTAATGGATCGTGATGATCTAATAATTAGGGAGGCGGATAAGGGTGGTGGCATCGTTTTGATGACCACCTCCTATTATCTAGAAGAATCTGCTAATATATTGGGGGACAAAAATACTTATACCACTCTAGCCAATGACCCAACGTCACGTTTTAATATGGAACTGGGGATCCTTCTAGATCAGGCATATAACAGTGGGATTATTACTCAAAAAAATTTAGACTTTTTATTTCAAAAAAACCCTGTTATACCGATTTTTTATTTTCTTCCTAAAACACACAAACGCCTCCCTAATCCACCAGGGCGTCCTATTATTAGCGGTGTAAATTCACTAACAGCTAATCTATCCGCCTACGTTGATTCCTTTCTGCAGAAATACGCACAGGGAGCGCCTTCCTATGTGCGCGATACAAAATCTTTTTTACAAGAACTGGAGTGTATTGAATGGAAATCGGAATACAGTTGGGCCACACTAGATGTGACCTCTCTGTATACTGTGATCAGTCATCACTTAGGGTTGGAGTCCATTGACTATTATATGTCCAAAGATAATACATTATCTGCAGGTCATAGAGAGTTTATTTTTTCTTCAGTTCAATTTATTTTGGATCACAATTATTTTTTCTTTAATGGTGATTATTATTTACAAACCACTGGGACCGCCATGGGTACCAGGTTCGCCCCCAGCTATGCCAACACCTACATGAGAAGATGGGAAGAACTTTTTGTGTGGTCTGGGCATGGCTGGAGGGAGAGCCTGGTCCTATGGCGGCGGTATATTGATGATGTTATTATTATTTGGAAGGGATCTTCGGTTGCTTTTCAGGAGTTTGTTCAATACCTTAACTGCAACCAGTACAATCTGGTCTTTACTCCAGTATGGAATAAATATGAAATTCATTTTTTGGACCTGGTCCTTTTCTGTGATCAAGAACAAATACAGACCAAATGTTTCTTCAAACCCACAGATGGTAACGGCTACGTACACCAACGTAGCTGTCACCACAAACCGTGGTTACGGGGCATAGCTAGAAGTCAGTTTACACGTGTCAGACGTAATTGCTCTAATCCTCAGGATTTTAGGACCCAATCACTATATATTAAGAAAAAGCTTATGGATAGAGGTTATAAAAGAAATGCTTTGGACAAAGAAATCCGTTCCATCAGCTCGGTACAACGTAGTTCATTATTAGAAGACAAGGGCAGTACAAATGAAAATAATAAAAACTTTAAGTCATCTTTTATAACTCAATACAATACCGATCATCATAAAATCAAAAAAAGTTTGCAGGATTTCTGGCCCATTTTACTCCAGGACCCAGTTTTGGGAGAGTCTTTATCGGATCGCCCTATGGTGATCTATAAAAAGAATAAGAATCTTAAGAACCTACTGGCTCCTAGCTACGCTATTAAACCTCCTAATATCCATTCTTCTCCTACTATTGGTTTTTTTAGAGGCTGTGGAATCTGTAAGGCCTGTATTACCACATCATTGTCCAAAATACAGTTGTTCCATAGTAACGTCACAGGGGAAACATTCAAGGTGAAATCTGAAATTAGTTGCCACTCGGACTATGTGGTTTATTTACTACAGTGTCCCTGTGGCAAACAATATGTGGGGCGTACAAAGAGGATTCTAAAGGTCAGAATACTTGAACATCTGAATAACATCAAGAAGAAACTCCAAACTCATTCAGTTTCGGCCCATTGTTCTAATTGCCCATTATTTACTTTTCGGGATTTTATCTTTATGGGCATTGAAAGAGTTTTTCCATTCTGGCGAGGGGGTGATAGAATCCAGAAACTATCCCAAAGGGAGACTTTCTGGATACACCGGTTAAATACTCTAGAACCGAGGGGCCTCAATATTGGTATTGATTTAGTTTGTTTTTTGGATTAGAATCCAAAATTGATTTTTATTTATACATACATTTATTTCCTTATACATCATTATTCTATGAATGATGTTGATTCTGACTAAAATACAACCTTCCGTCCTCCATATGGGTTATACAAGAGTAAATATATGGCTAAATTGTCCTGTACACATTTATTAATCAATGGGCAAAACACAACCACTTGGGATATTAGATATATGTGTAACTCCACTTAATATTGGAGATTTTCTATAGGAACACTATAAAATTTAGCTCTTTTTAATTATAATTCCTATATATATATATTTTTTTATGTTATGTTATTCTTTAAAAAATTCTTATGGCATGAACCATTTACTAATAACTAATGGATATTGATATATATCATATAGTTTAATCATGCATGGTACACTTGAAATATAATGTTTTTGTTGATAATAGGAGTACATGTATTATATATATTGTGCACTTTGAACGCACCTTTCACTTTAAGAAATACAGTGTGATACGGTTTAATTATAATAACCTAATGGTGATTGATTATATTAAGTAAATAAGGTTACTAATATTGCTTTTTTCTTCAGCAGATAGAATATATTGTATTTTTACTGTTTTTTTCCTGATCATATATTTACATTGAGACACAATGAAGGTGGAACGCATTTCAGCCGCGGGTGGAACGCATGTGGAACGCAAGTGGAACGCGGAAGTGCGATTCATTTCCCACTTCCGGTTCCGGTCGCCCGAACGCGCCAAAATTGATTACAGTAACACAGGGAGGATGAAAAACAGCTGAACAGCTCCTTCCCAGAACCAATTGAATAGCAGATACTGGATACCACCCACGGAACCACCAATGAACATGGGGATTAGCCCTATTTAAAGAGGACACAGGGATGGGGGGAATAGGATGTTTTTTTATATACTGTAATTGTATATTGATTTTATTCTTTATATACGGTCCCTGATGAAGTTCTTTGCAGAACGAAACGCGTAGGACCATACCGTTTTTTATTATACTTTATACTGATGGTGAATACTCACCTTTTATCAATAAATACATCTTTTTTCTACCATTACCTGTTTGGAGTCCTGAGCATTATTAAGGAAGCCTAAGAAGGAGCCAAGGGATTACCAACCCCCCATTCCACTAGGGGAGGCACCCTATGAGCGATATATTCTACTTCATTCTGTGAGTGCATTTGTATTCAGCGGAAAACCATGTGTTAATTGTACTTCACTATTTTGTGTATACTTTTTGTGTTCCTTTTAGATTAACTGTCCAGCCGTATCCCGAAGTTCTGTGTTGCTTGTGGTTAGATATGTTGAATGTACCTGTTTTATGCAATGGCTGCACAGTTATATGTTTTTATGTGTTTTATTGTCTTTTGCTGCCATGTGTCCAACTGAGTTTTGCCTCTGTCTTTGGAGATAATTGGATTACTTCACAATTATCTCCAGGATAGAAGACTCTGTGGAACTGGTTTTGGGCAGAAAAGCTGTGCTTCCTTTGGACACAAAGGACTACGGTCTATCTTTTGAACCACTGGACCAATTTGGATGATTTTGACATATGTTTGTATTTGGAGTATGCTGATTCTGAAAACGTTTTATGTGAATGTGATGCATACTTTTCAAGTTATGAATAATGTGGAAAAATTGTATTTCTCTGCTTGTTATAATTACATTACCCATTGTGTAAGGTAATTGAATCACAGGCAGAGGGGAGGATTTTGTGTGGGAGTGTCTGAGTGTATTGTATGTGTTTATTGGTTGTGTTCCAAAACCCTGTGGGTGGTACTAATGTGTAAGAATGTGTACATAAGCACAATAAACCCACAGCTCTGACTGTTCACAGCTTGACCCTCAACATGGAGCTTTGTCTCGTTCTTGGGGGGATTTACTGTATGCTGTTCCAGTTTGACTGCTTGGAGTGTAAACCTATTTGTATGGTTTTTCCTATTCGGCTGTTTACAGCATTCGTATGGTTTCCTGTTCGGCGGATTGGTGTTCTTTAGTAGCTGTGCCTGTGTCTCTGGAAGGGAATATCTACTAAACGGCGGTTTAACCCTTTTATGCCTGAGGGTGCTGTTACAATTGGTGGCAGCCGTGGGATTGTTCCTACAGCCAGAAGGACAGCTACAGGAGACACCATTTCTTTGGATTTTACAATTTGAGGGCAACGCATGTCCCAGTACAGCGACCCTGACAGCACCAAGATGGAACCAGCAGTGGAGTATGATGAGGGTGTCATGGATGACCGAGATGCAGTTCGCAAAGGCATCTGGTACCAGGCACTGGGTATTGTGGAGTACCAGCGGGACGAGAGACTCCCCAAGGAAGACCAGCGATTGCAGAAGCGACTAGCCCTGCGGATGCCCTTCCTGGGAGAGCAACCCCTGAATGAATGGGTGAAGGAATTTGAGCTCCGGGTATGGCAGGAGATGTGGCTGGAAGATGCCTAGGAGGCGCTCTGGTGGTATGGGGCACAGTACCTGCCCTGGACAGCCGAGCATGACAAGCCAGAGGGAGAGGAGTTTGATGGTCCTGGCTTGTTAAGGGAGGCTTTTTCAGAGCCTGAGTTTGGGAGCCCTACACAAGCCCGGTTCAGTGATCTCTTGGAGTGGAGGGAGAGCAGGTATGACTGGGACGACACTCATGAGATCGAGCAAGACCTGGTCCACCTAGTGACCCGAGAGATGGAGCTGGAGCAGGGCTACCAAGATCTGTTCCCCTCCAGTGAGAAGGCTCAGCAGGGAAGCGGAGACCCAGTTCCAGACCCATTCAGCTGGGTAGATATTGCAGAGTATTACTGGGAAGAACCCCAGGTGGTTGGTGGAGATGGGACCGAGGTCTCTCCACCGGTCCTGCAGGGAACTGGGAGCCCAGGCTCCATTCCCCAGCGGCAGAATGTCCAAAAGGGAATAGAGAGCCCAGTCTCCTTTCCCCAGCAGCAGGACTTTGTATTGGGAGCAGAGACAGTCGGTCTCCCTCCCCCGCGGCTGGAAGTATATATTGGAGAGGAGCTGGTTACCCCCTCTCACCAGCGGCAGCTTAACATACCAGGGGGAGACAGTAAGTCCCACAACCGTGCAGATGGGACCGTGGTCTCTGTATTTACAGCACAGAGGGTAGGGACCGTCGGTTTTGCCCCCAGTGACAGGGCTGTTTAGCCAAAGGGGAGACAGTCGGTCTCCCCCTCCAGCAACCGAGCGGTGTAACCAAAGGGGAGACAGTCGGTCTCCCCCTCCAACAACCAGGCTTCAACTAGGCTACTCCCGTGGTAGCGCTGGCACCAGGGCAGAGTACCGCTGGTCTCTGCCCACTCAGCAACCCACTAAGTCAGCTTACCAGTCACCCACACAGCCGTGGTGAGGCACCTGGACATGGACAAAGTTCTCCTCTACCCAGGCGTAGTAACCATTTATTGTGGGTAGGCTGTATTACTGTTTGTGTGTTGTGGGTGGGCTGCTGGACTAACAAGGGCACTGACCGGCAGGAGGTCAGATACCCTGTTAGTCTGTTTGGAAAAGGGGAGAGATGTGACGAGACCAATCTCGCCACATTGCATTGGAGAAGCCTGGTTGCTCGCCTGTTGCCTTTGGATTATGGCCCCACGTTAAAAGGCTTGATTTTCCCCTGCAAAGACATGAAAGCCTGGTCATTTGGTGCTTGCCCTGTTTGAGCGGTGATACCCCAGATAGCTATGCCATGGAGCCCATTCGTATAATGAAAGACTATGGGAAAAACTTTGGCTCCATGGCAATTGAACTGTATGTGTGTGCTCTGAGCGCCATTCAGTAATAATGTGCGCTCAGATCTGAGCTATCTGGGGATATGAATGTACCTGTTTTATGCAATGGCTGCACAGTTATATGTTGTTTGTGTTTTATTGTCTTTTGCTGCCATGTGTTCAATGGAGTTTTACCTCTGTCCTTGGAGATAATTGGATTACTTCCCAATTATCTCCAGCATAGAAGACTCTGTGGAACTGGTTTTGGGCAGAAAAGCCATGCTTCCTTTGGTCACAAAGGACTACGATCTATCTTTTGAACCACTGGACCAATTTGGATGATTTTGACATATGTTTGTATTTGGAGTATGCTGATTCTGAAAATGTAAGTTTATGTGAATGTGATGCATACTTTTCAAGTTATGAATAATGTGGAAAAAATGTATTTCTCTGCTTGTTATAATTACATTACCCATTGTGTAAGGTAATTGTATTACAGGCAGAGGGGAGGATTTTGTGTGGGAGTGTCTGAGTGTATTGTATGTGTTTATTGGTTGTGTTCCAAAACCCTGTGGGTGGTACTAATGTGTAAGAATGTGTTCATAAGACTGTTCACTGCTTGACCCTCAACATGGAGCTTTGTCTCGTTCTTGGGGGGATTTACTGTATGCTGTTCCAGTTTGACTGCTAGGAGTGTAAACCTATTCATATGGTTTTTCCTATTCGGCTGTTTACAGCATTCGTATGGTTTCCTGTTCGGCGGATTGGTGTTCTGCAGTAGCTGTGCCTGTGTCTCTGGAAGGGAAGATCTACTAAACGGCGGTTTAACCCTTTTATACCTGAGGGTGCCGTTACATTCGCTATTATTCTACTGGGAGTTTGGGAGAAGCTGCAAGGATCGGTACTACAGAGATAACAGGAATTTGTCGACTAAAAATGAATGTAGAAATTCACTGTCCAGGGTCTATTTTTCTATCCATCTATCCCAATAGCTATATTGATGGCCCTTCTTTGGAGCAAAGCTAGTAATAGTCCATTCTGCAGTGTAAAATGCTTTGAGAATCTTGGGCCAGCTATCCACCCTGGAAGACTTCCAGTTTCTGGCTATCGACGTTTTAACAGCCATTAAGATGTGTAAAATAATTGGTCTAGATTCTCTATTAATCATCCCCATATCCATATGCAGTAAAGCCATATTTGGAGTCAATTTGAACTTAATTTCCAGTAAAGTTGATAAATATTGGTTTGTCATCTCCCAGAGCGGTCTAATTTTCGGGCAGTCCCACCAAATGTGTTTTACATCTGCAATTGGTTCGGTGCATCTCCAACAATTCAAGGAGGCTGTAGGATACATTTTTGCTATTTTTTTTAAGGAGTTCTGTACCATCTATTTAGTATATTGTAATTAATTTTATGTATATTTAAGCAGTGGCAAGCTTTTATAATGTGTTGAGGGAGTTATTCCATTCTTTCATAGTTATGTCTATTTTCAAATCATAATTCCATTTAGTTATCGCCGAGGGAATTGATTTAATCTGAGCCTTGTAAATCAGTTTTTTACATTTATTGCCTAAATGAGTATAGTCTGTTTGCTCGTATATTTCTGAAAGAAACTGAACTGGAGGTTTAAGAGGATTAAATCTCAGGTATGTTTTTTTAAAAGATATTACCCTTATATAATTAAACCATTCGGGAGATGGAATGTTGTATTCAGCTTGAAGTTGTTCAAAAGATTTTAATGTATTTCCTCTCAGGATGTTGGATATCTTTTTCATACCCTTAAAGCGGCACTGTCATGCCGAATCCTGTTTTGTTTTTTTTTTAACCCCCCTCCCGTCTCCACTATCTCTAATTGACCCCCGAGTCACCCCCAAATGCCCCTAAGCCCCCCACATTACCTATTTTTTAATCTTTATTTTCTGCCCTGATCTATATTCAGGGCGCCGCCATCTTTGTGTGGGTAGAGGAAGTCCCTGTGATACACGTCATCTGCCCACACTAGATAGCACTGAGATTCCCGCACATGCCCAGTTAAACACCTGGACATGTGAACGGGAATTTCATCTATTCATTCATTCATCAGACAGACGAATGAATGAATAGAAATGTCAGACGAACAAACTAACACTGAGTATCAGTGTTCATTTGTTCGTGCAGTTTATTACAAGGAGGGAGCTACCGGCATGCAGCTCCCTCCTTGTAATATGTAACTATAGAAGCGGCAGGGAGCAGTGCTCCCACTTCCGCCACTTCATAAGTCAGTAGGTCCCCCCCTCATTATCTTTATGGCCCCCACCCGCCGCCAAGGGGTGGGGGCCGGTGGGGTGGATAGTAGGTCCCCTCCCTCATTATCATTTGGCCCCCACCCGCTGCCCAGGGGTGGGGGCCGGGGAGGGAGGACAGTAGGTCCCCCCCTCGTTATCATTATAGCCCCCACGCGCCGCCCAGGGGTGGGGGCCGGGAGGGGGGAGGACAGTAGGTCCCCCCCCCCTCATTATTATTATCATTTTGGTTTTTTTACAGTGAGCAGCCACAGGCTGCTCACTGCTTACTAGACATGCCCCTACTCGTGGTATAGCGAGTAGGGGCAGCATTTACTACTACTAAGTAATTTTTACTTAGTATTAGTAAATGTGGCTGAAAGACCAATTTAGGTCTTTCGGCCTTTTAGTAGATAGCTCACTGATACCGTGGGAATTAGGGAGTTATCTACTAAGCGGCTGCAAGATGCAGCCACAGCATGAATAGGATCGGAGTTTCATTCTCATTCATACTGTTCTCATTCAGTTAGAACGCAATTCGGCAGTTTCGTGTAAAATGACAGGAAGCATAGCGGGAACACAGAGGAAAGGTAAGGATCATGGGAAAATTGCTCTGACCAGCGGAAATGAAGCACACTTTGCTCCTCCGCTGGTCAGAGCTGGTCAAGCGGAGGAATCCTCCATAAGGCAAAGAGTTCCTACTTTGTCTTAGGATTTTAAAGACAACTAAAGAAGACAGGAAGAAAAGAAGAAGAGATCCTGAGAGAGGGAGAAGAGTAAGAGATTGAGGAAGGGTAAGTTCGGCATGACAGTGCCGCTTTAAGGGTCATATTTCCATATTTATGTCTATCATTAAGTTTGATAGTATATTTAAATGTATACCAGGCATTATCTTCATTTTTAGACCAATTTTCTTTTAAAAATTGAGACCAGGTAGGGAAGATTTGCTGAACTATCAGCAATTTAGAATTTTTAATATACTCATTTGTTTCTTTATCTATGGGCCATAAATGGGCGTTGTAATCCCTATCTCCCGATGTCAGAGTCTGTTCTCTTTTATACCAATTTTCATTCATAGAATCTTCCTTATTTGCAGTTAAAATATGTGCTGATGTCTTGAATGATTTGAATACTCATACCTCCTTCATCTTTTTTCCTGGACATAATATCTTTTTTTATTCTGGGTTTTTTACCTGACCAGATACATTTGGTAAATGATGGTTGAATGAATTCTAACCAACTATCAGGGATCTTTATAGGATAATTCTCATAATTTTCGCAAATTTCGGTACAATATATGCTTTTAATGTATTTATTTTCCCTGAGCAGAAGATTTCCAGAGTTTTCCATTTTTTTAAATTAACATTTGTTTCTTTAACGGTAAAATATTAATTTCTGTCCATTTCTTTGGGTTTTGACATTTTTATACCTAAATAATTAAAATCATTTTTGACTTGTTTAACCCCTTAAGGACACATGACATGTGTGACATGTCATGATTCCCTTTTATTCAAGAAGCTTGGTCCTTAAGGGGTTAAATCCATATTTGTTTTCTATAATATCAATATTGTTTTGAGATGTATTTAGATGTAGTGCCGTGGATTTTTCAGTGTTTATCTTGTAATTGGAAAAATTACTGTAATTTTGGATGATTTCCACAACATGGTCGATAGACTCCTCGGGTTTCTGAATAGTTATCAATACATCGTCTCGTATAGCTTAATTCTTTGGGTATTATTTTTCTTTAAAGATTCCTCTATCTGTTATCTGACCTGTAATAGTTTTTTTTTGTCTAAAAGTGGATCAAATGCTTAGTTGAAATCCCCCAGAATCACCAGAATTCCTTGTTTAACTACTTCTATTCATCTTAAAACCTTAGTTATAAATGGAAATGAAGAATGGTTTGGGGCATAAAGATTGATTACGGTGTATATGATGATATCAATCTCACAGACCACTGTGATAAATCTTCCCTCAGTGTCTTGTTCTGTATATATATTTCTGAAATTCAAGTTCTTAGATATCAATATAGCGACCCCTCGTTTTTGTTTTTTTTTGTGCTCAAGAGATGCTGAAAAGATCGTCGTATAGATTTTAGAATTTAAGTTAATATTATCCTTCTTTCTCCAATGCGTTTCCTGCACACCACACATATCAATTTTCTGTTTCCTCAAATATTCTAGTAAAATAGATCTTTTAAATGGAGAATTAAGTCCCTGGAGATTTATCGTAGCAAGTCTAACCATAGTCCCTGATTGTTTTCCTCTTCTGATCACTGGGTCTACTGCCTCGTATCCGAACATCAAAGTTCCAGTTCCACTGCAGACCAAACAATTGGGAGCATCTAAAGTAACTCTACTTTAGCATTTTATCAGTTGTCTTTATCTTAATGTGTGTATTATAAATTGTCTTGTTTAGGTTTTTATTGTCCTCCCCAGCTCTAATCTTTGTTTTCTATTACATTTTTCTACTTTTAATAAAAGCTGATAGGAGGATCCTGAAGTGTAGGGATGGTTTGTCAGCTCTTAATGTATTTAGGAGACAATTCATTCTGAAACTTTTCTAACTTGTAACATTTGATAAACAATTAAATATAGCAATAATGTATTGAGATTTTTCTTGTGAAAACATAATGCAATGATTGTGGCGGACCACTGTCCCTAAGTACCATGCCCACTGCTCATTCATGTGTTTTCCTCTGTGTATTGTACTTTTCCCCTTGTTCCCCTTGTATTTTGTGTAATCTGCACTGTTAACCGTTCGGGAGCAGTCATGCGAAAGGAACCTGTTCGCCTCCCGACGCGGACCACCCAATACCCATTTAGAATGTTCACACCAATCAATCAGAGCGTTCGCACCTGCAACATCAGTGTGAAACCACAAGGGAAGTAATTAATGAGTGCTCCCCTTTGTAGCTGCCATTTAGTATAGACAAACGCCACCCAGGGGGAGCATTCATATCCTGAAAGGAGATGCTACCCTTGCGAGGTCTTCGCACCGGGACTCCGCGAACGGGTCTCTGAGCTTGGTGGGGACACTGTTGGGGTACTGGTGGTTCGGATCACCCTACCTGCTCCTAACGGAGCTATAATTGTCACATCCTGTTCTGTGGAGATGTCTGGTCTTGGCTTCTGGTATCCAGTACTCTTTTTACAATTCTTGTTTAGTTTTTCTTGTTTTTTCTGGATTTCTATTCTATGTCTGTTTTTTTTTTTTATGCTGGGTTTTCTGGGTTGATTCCTTTATTCCGTTCCTGAAATTCCCAGTCTCCTGGATTCCTTTAAATGTTTGTTTTTTGTTGCCACACCCGTTCCTTTGCCATTAATCCTTTTGTTTCAGTTGGTTCCTGCAGGCTGTGGTTTCGTGTCCTCTGCCCCTTTCTTTGCAGGTAAGTGCTGTGTGTGTTTTATTGTTGTTTATTTAGTCATGCATATCTAGGCAGGTAGGACCCACTGTAATTGGAGTACTTTGTCGCAGTTGTGGGCTGCATACATCTTGTACAGTCCTGTCCTTCCCTGTTCATGTTTCCTTCATGTCCCGTCTGCATGTTCTGGATTCTGCTTTCTGTCCTGCTCCTGTTCTGGGTTCTTCTAGTCTCGTCTTGTTATCTTGTTTGGTGCCTGTTCAAGTCTTGCCTTGTTTCTAGTACTGGATACATATCTGCTGCCAAGCCTCCCTATCCAGATCCTGGGAGGTCTGCATATTTTCTCCTAGCTCCTGGGATCCGCAAAAGCTGAATCAGGGCGCTGGTATATGGCCGCACAAACCATGGTGCTCAACACCAGGGGGCTTGTGGTTACCCTGCACCAGGCCCTGATAGTCCATTTCCATGCTGAGAATCCCATCATCATCAGGCACTCAGTGGTCCCGGTCTCCGAACCGCCACCCGTGACAATAATCACTACTTTCTCATCCTGGGAGCTGCGAGACCAGGCTCGTAGCTGTCCAAGGAGCGCCCTCCCCGGGGCTGCCTAAGTGGAGGCAGCCACCGGAAAGGGGCGCGAGCCCCGGTGGAGACCCTAGAGCTTTGAGTCTGCTTCCAGGCGGCCAGCGGAACCGCTGCGGCTGCGAAGTATGTCCCGACCAATAGGAGAATGAGCTCCCATTCAAACTGGGTTTGCGCCATTCTCCTGATAGGTCGGCAAGAGTGAGCGCTGATTGGTCGCTGCGGGGATGTACAGAGCCTCGAGCCCAGACTTTGTATGATGGTTTCTACGGGCTCTGTATATCCGATAGCCCCACTATTTGCAGGGTTCAAGTGTTATTTTTTACATGTGTGACCTCTTCCCGGGCTGCGGAGCCCCTAAGTTTGCCTTCCTTTCCCATATGTTTTAATGTATGTAACTGTTGTCCCATTGGTGTCTCCCAAAGTGGGAGATGGTTATCTGTAACCCATCCTTTCCTCCTGCCTGGGACAAAGGAAAGTGTATTGAAAGAGTGGAGACCCCTTGTGGGGGTCTGTGCTTAAAAGGAAGCTGTACCAATAAAGGATTGTCAGTGTTGTATCCCTCCAAACTGTGTGGCGTCTAATTACTGGGGGGGAAATGCATGCCTGCTTATTGTAAGGGTTCCTGAATGGCTTAAGGAAGGGAATTAGCGGCGGTAACCGGTTAGGTTACCAAGGATTCCGCTACAATGATGATTTCACACACAATCCCAATTTAGGAATTGTGCTTGGCTCGTTCTAAGTGCATGATAATCTGGATAGGGATCCTGTGTATCAGTGTCCATGGCACTCAATAGTTTTGCAGCTCGGATCTTATAGGTCTCCTCATTATTTCGGTGTATTTAGAAGGAGTGGTAAATAATATGACATTTGTTATCCAGTTGTTTTTGTTCCTGTCACAGGAAGTTCAATGGCTCACTCTGTATGAGTCTGTCTTTATTAAGATCTCTGCTCTTCGTACAAAATACACCATCCAGCTGACAATGGACCTGGCATGGAGTGAGAAGACTAAACGAGTGTTAAACATCACCTTGGAGATTGTCTACCTGCTGATCGGAGTGGTGAGTAGTAAAGGCAATGTGACAATGACACCACTTTGATCGCTATGAAGGTTCATTGACCTTATTATATTAGTTGTTATAGCCTCATTGGAAGCTTTGTTGGGGAGATGGTGGATGAGATTTGTCAGAGGGCGATGTTTGATTATATGCTTAATCCTTATTGTTAAAGGAGAATGTGTGTAGAGATTCCCAACAGAGAAAGATGGCAAAGTAAAGGGATAGTTTAAATACAAATTTACGTAGGTCCATGGAGACGTATTTGTGTGGTTTGTTTTAATCCTCTGAGTTATGTTGCCCGTTAATGTTTCTGTCTTTGTGTAGGATTATATAGAGGTAAAGAAGCACATTGAGCATATTCCATACAGTAGAATCCCCTCCAAGGCAGTATTCTGCCGGAGCCAGAAACCCAAACATGTATCACCTCCCTCGCTGATCCATGAGAGAACCAATGAGCAGAAGATCCTGGAACTGACCAATCAGATCATTGAGTTGCTGACTGGAGAGGTGAGGCTGCTGGGAATGCGACATTATACAGTAAAACCAAGTGATGTGTCTGGATGGTCACTGTATCATTGTGTGTGTCAGGTTCCTATATGGTGTGACAATGTCTTCATGGAGCAGTGGGACAGTTTAGAAGGACAGACAGACCCTGTTATTGACATGTTTACCTCAAATCACCTGCCTTTGACTTCAGTGGGTAAGAAATTATTAATTCACTGTCATGTGTTTTTTTCATGTCTACAGCAGAGGCCCCTAAAGTACTTTAGCTTGCTGATACTAGATGAAAACGGTTAATATAATAGCAGCCCTAATTTGGCCCATTTGCATCAATTTTTCCCATTTGAGGTATGATTTCTTGATAGTATTAAAGGCAGTCCCATCTGATTTGATCTTCTTGATGATGATTAAATAGGAGGGTTTATAATATATCCAATCTACATGCCAGTCAGGGTCTTGGATACCTTACCCTCATACTGAGGAATTGTTTACATTAAGCTTTCCCTTTCTTCGAGAATCTATCGATCTGTGACAGGCGGCTATGGTTGGTCACACTTCTCCCCATAGAGGGGCTTGGTGCATGGGTGAACCTCTTCGATGACGCTGTGGAGATGGGCGGGGATGTAGGATCATGCCTTTCCTCACACGGCTATTCAGAGTATAGGCGAATTGGGACTAAGTGTTCTCCCTTCCTTTTAACATCTAAGAGTTCCGATTGGCTAATAAAGGGGGAAGGCGGGTTCTATCCCAATTCAAAAATGGACGTACTGTGGGCTAAGGCCTACCTGCTCTTGAGAAAGACGTGTTAGAATGCTGAAATACTCATCAAGGCTTAGTGCCGATGGGCTCACTGTGTTGATTTTATTTTTTTCACTAATTAGTATGGTGAATTTATACATATATTGATACTAATGGAGATATCATGTTTTTTCCTTCTTGTGAGCTGTAGGGAAGATTTGATAGATTTAATAAGGGTTCTGCCTCGAAGCAGTAGGTTGGGAAGAGTGTGTGTACTATATAGGGGGGAGTTTTAGATACTTATCACCCTAATCCATACCCCCTCTCTCTACCCTTATAATATAAATCTACGAGATGGAATTACACTTGACTATTTGAGTTTCCTGTCCCAGTTTTTTTTACTAGTTGAATTTAATGATCTATTTCTAGCCTGATAAATACTAATGGTGACTTGTGGTAACCCACAAAGAGCGGATTGGAATGAGCTTTAATAATGAGTCTGGTTACAAGCTAGCTTCGCTCTTTTTATTAAGTTTACTGCAGGAGAATTGTATACTGAGGAGCCTTTGAAGTTTGAACCTCAGTTTATTCGAGTGATCCATTTCCAATTTTGTAGTTTGTTGTTTGTCTACTCATACCCATGTATACCATTTAATGTATAATAGGGTTTTTTCATGTACTTCCAAACTCTGCTACCATATATTCTGTGTTTTTTCTCACTGATATGATATATATTTATATACTAATAATCGAGCTCTTATTGCTTGACTTTCGAGATTGCTGTATAGTTCCGATTTTCCACTCATTACATGTTTCTCTTTTCAAACTAGTATCTTGTTATACTGCTATATAATAGATACAATGCGATTCTGTCGGCTCTCCTTAAAAGAATATTGAAGATACTGTGTGTGTTCAAGAATTACAAGTATTAGGATCGGTATTTCCAAGACCATATTTGTTCCCCAATCTTTTTATTTACGTTTCACCTTTTTTCATTTGTAGCACGTTTGCACTCTTTAAAAATTTTTTCTCATAATATTGTATCTAAATTATCTTCTATCTAAGAACGATTTTCTAATTGGTGGAAATTCTAGTGCAGTTTGGTTCCCCCCTCTTTTATATGGGTGGTTCATTCTTCGTTGACATAAGGTTATGCCCTTATTACCTACCTTACCCATTCTAAGCAACAGAGTAAGTTTTTTAACTTGCATCTGAAGCTATTTTTCTTGTTTCTTATTTAAAAAAATGTTACCAGGAAGGATACAGTCTGTCCTGGGCCCACAAACACTGCATTGTTACACTAGGGTACAATATTATAAACAAATAATACTATATATACACACACACACACATATATAAATGTAACACATAATAGTTTATATATATATGTATATAAATGAGGCTCGAGCCACTTTATTTTTGTAATTTTGGTGTATAGATCATGCCCTGATCTAATCTTTGCCATTTAGGAGTTAAATAACTTTGTTTATACAGCCCTAGTCACACTCCCCGCATGTCACTTACACAGCCTTTCTAGACACTTCCTGTAAAGTCATCTAATGTTTACACTTCCTGTAAATTTAAAATTTCTTATCTCCTGCTCTGTTAGTTGCCTTTCAGACCCTGCCAGCGCCTCCTGTGTGATTAAAGTTCAATTTACAGAGCAGGAGATAAAACACTTTTAAAGTAAGTTAACATCTGATAGAACGTAAAAAAGTGTTTTATCTCCTGCTCTGTAAATTGAACTTTAATCACACAGGAGGCGCTGGCAGGGTCTGAAAGGCAACTAACAGAGCAGGAGATAAGAAATTTTTAATTTACAGGAAGTGTAAACATTAGATGACTTTACAGGAAGTGTCTAGAAAGGCTGTGTAAGTGACATGCGGGGAGTGTGACTAGGGCTGTATAAACAAAGTTATTTAACTCCTAAATGGCAAAGATTAGATCAGGGCATGATCTATACACCAAAATTACGTGAAACCATTTTGTTTTCATGCAGACTGTGTCAGTCAGAGCCAGGGGAGGTGTGGCTAGGGCTGCATAAACAGAAACAAATGTGATTTAACTACTAAATGGCAGGGAATTGAGCAGTGAGACCGCACGGGCACAATCTATACACCCAAACTGCTTAATTTAGCTAAAGTTGTTTTGGTGACTATTGTGTCCCTTTAAGATGGTTATGTATTAACAAAATCTGGACCACGTCTAAGTGACTTTATCATTTTCCTTTTGTTACCATATTCCCACTCCTTTATGTTAAAGCTCTTTACATTCAGTGTGTTCCTATGGCAACACATAACATGGAAGCAGCACAGCAAATGACCATTTATGAATAAAAAATAAGAATTAAGCCATATACAAATAATAATAGATTTCAATTAAAGCACTCTAAAATTTCTTTACAAAAGGAGGAAATAAAAGTTCAGCCCCCCAAAATTACGATACATGTACTGTAAACATTTCTCTGTCACGCGACCCCAAATCGTTTCACATGCATTTTGTCCTCCGCCTTAACCCTGCCGCCAAATGACCATCTGTAGGAGTGATCGGACAGGCTATTTGTTATGCATGCTTTTTTTTCTAAAAATAAAAAATAACCAAACACTTTGTAACATGGTCGGGCTATGTTTTGATTCACCTATTCACATCTCAGTATATAACATTTCTGTCTTCTCTAGCGTTTTACAAGCTCTTGTGGTTACACTATTTTTTTAATATTCCTTTTTTAACAGATTTTTCTGAATCCAAAAATTCATCTGCACTTATTAAGGATGAATTATCCACAAGTGAAGTAAATCTCACAGACATTTATGCTTCCACAGAACATCCACAGACAGAATATCCATCTACTCAGGTTAAAGAGGAATCGACATCTGGCAAAGAAGGAAATCTCACAGACATTTCTACACCCACAGAAAATCCTAAGGCAGAACATCTATCTACTCATATTAAAGAAGAACTGGCCTCAAGTCACAAAGATATCACAGACATTTTTACACCTACAGAACATCCACAGACAGAACATCTATCTACTCATATTAAAGAAGAATTGGCCTCAAGTGACAAATATATCACAGACATTTTTACTCCCACTGAACATGCACAGACAGAACACACATCTATCCACATTAAAGAGGAATCTGTCTCAAGTGAAGAAGAAAATCACATTGACACAGACATTTATACAGACACAGAACATACCCAGATAGACTATACATCTATTCATATTAAGGAGGAATCGGCCTTGGATGAAGAAGATCTGACAGACACTGACACTTTTACACCAACAGAACATCCACAGACAGAATATACTTCAATTCATATTAAGGAGGAATCCGTCTCATGTGAAGAAGGCAATCTCACAGACACTGACATCAATGTGATATATAACTGTCCTAAATGCCAAATAACATTTAAAAGTCAAACAGAATTTATTCACCATAGGACAGACCACAAACAAGAAATCAGTGGCTGCAATGAACATAAAAAAGAGAAAGCGTACACAACAGAAAGTTCTGAAACAGATACGTGTTTCAGCCAATTCTCAAGTCTTGATCCATCTCATAAAGTTCACATGGGGGAAAAACCAATGATATGTACTTGTGGGAAATGTATTTGCCCAAATGCAAAGCATCAAAAATTGCAACCAAAAGAAAAACCATATGGTTGCTCTGAATGTGGGAAGTTTTTTAGTCGTAAGTCCGATCTTGTTGTACACCAGAGAATTCATACTGGAAAGATGCCTTATTTGTGTCTGGAATGTGGAAAATGTTTTAACCGTAAGTCTGTTCTTGTTCGTCATCAAAGAGTCCACACAGGGGAGAAACCGTATTCCTGCTCTCAATGTGGAAAATATTTTACTCATAAGTCAGGTCTTGTTAAACATCAGCGGATTCACACAGGAGAGAAACCCTATTCCTGTCCTTATTGTGGCAAGTGTTTTACCCAGAACTCTCACTTTATTACACACAAGAGAATCCACACTGGAGAAAAACTGTATTCTTGTTCTGAATGCGGGGAGCGTTTTAGACGCCGGACCCAGCTAAGTAAACATGTGAGAATTCACAACAAAGAATAGCTCTTTGCATTTCACGAATACTTAGAAAAACTAACTCACATTCACAGTTAGATATCCAGCTAAATAATACAGCATATTCTGGACATCCGTCATGATTGCCTTTTATTTCTGGAGCTGTGTCCTTAAGGGGTTAAGACGTTTATCCATGCTTCTATTAAAGTGGACCTCTCTATAGATAAAACAACCCCAACATTATGTTGGCATTACTATGAAGTTTCAGTGCAGTCAAAAAGTATATGTTAGAAAAATACGGACTTCTTCAGCTAATGTACAACTACGGAAAAAGAAAACATGGAAAAAAATATGAATATTGATGATTTTCCAGGTGCTTTGCCTTTTCCTGTTAGCTACCGTGATTGATGGCTGATGGATAAAAGACATTGTCTTGGACATTGCGGAATGGATTCTTATGCAATCTGCATACCTAAGTAAATAAAGATGGCAGTGCCAATGGAGAAGGGTTAATTTAGGAGGCTCCTCCGTCCATTTTACCACCTGGCACCATTCTGTGGATGTGTTACCTGGGGAAGTCTTTGTAAAAATGGCAAGAGCTCCACTAATGACAGGTTCACTTAAAGAGCAGGGTTGGTGGATCTAGGAAAGGTAAGCACTAAAGTCTTTACCGTGGTTGGCTGAATTGTCTAAAATTGATATTCTGCCAGGGTATCATGTAGTACCAGAACAATGTAATAAAGGCTTTCACTCTACCACGACTTGGCAAATTCAATAAAGAGGCAATTGTAAAATTAAAGTTTGTTTTGTAAAAAAAAAGTATGTGTCTTGTTTCATTATTTTTTGTTATATTAGAATGGGAGTTGAAATTCTGGGCTAGGTCTGAGTTTTCTACACACTCACTCTTGATCACATAATATTTGGAGGTTTATAAAAGTTAAAATATATATTTTGCTAGATCTATTGCGGTTTGAGCAATATCTAACATTTTATTTGAAGCAAAGGTTATTGACTGTACACAATGAAATATAACACTGAGTCGGGATCGACCGATATTAGTTTTTTAGAGCCGATACCGATAATCTGTAAACTTACCGATATTCTGTACACTTACCTTTTTGAAAAAATAAACTATTTCTAAAGGTAAATGCCCAAAATATACATGCCAAATGTAGTGGATGCAGTGTGTTTAGACTTAGGTTGCTGAGTGTGTGTGTGTGTGTGTGTGTGTGTGTGTGATGAATGCAGGGTGTGTTTGTGTAGTGTGTCTATAATGAATGCAGTGAGTGTGTAGTGTGTATATTGAATACAGTGAGTGTTTGTGTAGTGTGTATATATAGTGAATGCAGAATGTGTGTGTAGTGTGTCTATAATGAATGCAGTGAGTGTGTAGTGTGTATATTGAATACAGTGAGTGTTTGTGTAGTGTGTATATATAGTGAATGCAGAATGTGTGTTTGTGTAGTGTGTATAGTGAATGTAGTGTGCGTAAAGTGAATGCAGTGTTTGTGTAGTGTGTGTATAGTAAATGCACTGTGTGTATATAATGCAGTGTGTGTGTATATAATGCAGAGTGTGTAGTGTGTGTATATAATGCAAAGTGTGTGTTTGAGTAGTGTGTGTATATAATGCAGAGTGTGTGTGTTTGTGAAGGGATGTAATTTGTGTAAAATGGGGGGGAGGGGGGCATTTTTTATTTTAATTTTATTTTTAATATTTATGTTTTATTATTTTTTGTTCCCCCCTCCCTGCTTGTTACCTGGCCAGGGAGGGGGGCTAGGGCATTCCATGGTGGTCCAGTGGCATGTACTGAGCAGAGGGGGGGAGGGGCCCGCAGCAAGCTGTTACTTACCTTCCCAGCAGCTCCCTGTATAAATCTCGCGGCCAGCGTGCCGTGCGGAGTGTTGCCATGGTAACCCGTGGCAACGCTCTGCGGCCACGGGACTCGCGAGATTTACTCAGGGAGCTGCTGGAAAGGTAAGTAACAACTTGCTGCGGGCCCCTCCAGAACAGGCAGGCTTGTAATGGGCCCGGCGGTCCTATAAGGTATTATCGGCAATATCGGTATCTATCTCTAGAACTACACATGCAAACGTACTGAGGTTTCATACTGAGGGACAGATTTATCCTCTCTGCTACCCAAGGACCAGTTTTCTCAATGTGCCCAGCATGTCATATATATATGACGCTTGTTGGGTGTGTGTGATTGGATGAATGAATAGGACTAGTTTAAGGTATGTGGTTGGATGGATGAATGTGAGTAGTTTGGGGTATGTGATTGGATGGATAAATGTGAGTAGTTTGGGGTATGTGATTGGATGGATGGATGTGAGTAGTTTGGGGATGTGATTGGATGGATGGATGTGAGTAGTTTGGGGTATGTGATTGGATGGATAAATGTGAGTAGTTTGGGGTATGTGATTGGATGGATGAATGAATGTGACTAGTTTGGGGTATGTGATTGGATGGATAAATGTGAGTAGTTTGGGGTATGTGATTGGATGGATTAATGTGAGTAGTTTGGGGTATGTGATTGGATGGATTAATGTGAGTAGTTTGGGGTATGTGATTGGATGGATAAATGTGAATAGTTTGGGGTATGTGATTGGATGGATGAATGTGAGTAGTTTGGGGTATGTGATTGGATGGATGAATGTGAGTAGTTTGGGGTTTGTGATTGGATGGATGAATGTGTGTAGTTTGGGGTATGTGATTGGATGGATAAATGTGAGTAGTTTGGGGTATGTGAGTGGATGGATGGATGAATGTGAGTAGTTTGGGGTATGTGATTGGATGATAAATGTGAGTAGTTTGGGGTATGTGATTGGATGGATGGATGAATGTGAGTAGTTTGGGGTATGTGATTGGATGGATGGATGAATGTGAATAGTTTGGAGTATGTGATTGGATGGATAAATATGAGTAGTTTGGGGTATGTGATTGGATGGATGAATGTGAGTAGTTTGGGGTATGTGATTGGATGATAAATGTGAGTAGTTTGGGGTATGTGATTGGATGGATGAATGTGAGTAGTTTGGGGTATGTGATTGGATGGATGGATGAATGTGAGTAGTTTGGAGTATGTGATTGGATGGATAAATATGAGTAGTTTGGGGTTTGTGATTGGATGGATGAATGTGAGTAGTTTGGAGTATGTGATTGGATGGATGAATGTGAGTAGTTTGGAGTATAATGGATGATGTGAGTAGTTTGGGGTATGTGATTGGATGGATGGATGAATGTGAGTAGTTTGGGGTATGTGATTGGATGGATGGATGAATGTGAATAGTTTGGAGTATGTGATTGGATGGATAAATATGAGTAGTTTGGGGTATGTGATTGGATGGATGAATGTGAGTAGTTTGGGGTATGTGATTGGATGGATGAATGTGAGTAGTTTGGGGTATGTGATTGGATGGATGAATGTGTGTAGTTTGGAGTATGTGATGGGATGGATGAATGTGAGTAGTTTGGAGTATGTGATGGGATGGATGAATGTAAGTAGTTTGGGGTATGTGGTTGTATGGATGAATGTGTGTAGTTTGGAGTATGTGATAGGATGGATGAATGTGAGTAGTTTGGGGTATGTGATTGGATGGATGGATGTGAGGAGTTTGGGGTATGTGATTAGATGGATGAATTGAAGAAGTTTGGGGTCTGGCTGTACGGTAATTCTGACTGGTGGGGGGTTGTATGGCAATAAGTGTAAGGTGGGTGGGTGTAGGTGACGTGTGTGAATGTGACAGGGTGAGTGGGTGTGACTGGAAAGTGAGATGAGACTGGTTTGAGGTATGTGATTGGATGGATGAATCGGACTAGTTTGGGGTATGACTGTACGGTAATTCTGACTGGTGGGGGGTTGTATGGCAATAAGTGCAAGGTGGGTGGGTGTAGGTGACGAGTGGGTTTGACTGGGAGGTAAGATGGGACTATCTGACTGGGAGGGTAGGGGTATATCTTCAGTTCAGAGTGTCATGACTCTGAGCAGGTCAGAGAGGAGACTTGTGCCAGGATTGACTTCCGGTACTTTATTTGTGCTCTTAGACATAGTATGAACAGGATATCCTATAATAGAATAGAAATTATAGGAAAGAGAGAGAGACAACAGAAATAAATGGGTTCAGGCAACATGCCCTAAATAAATTATAAACAGGAATGAAAGTAAATAATAACAACCTATAGATAAAAGTATAGGTTAACCCCTGAAGGACCGGCCTGTTTTTACGATGTTGTACGTTAACGACCAGGGCTCTTTTTACACTTTTGTGGTGTTTGTGTTTAGCTGTAATTTTCCTCTCATTTACTGTTCCCATACAAATTATGTATTGTTTTTTTAAGGACAAAAAGGGCATTCTTTACATACCATTATTTGTATCATGTCTGTAGGAAATTGGCATTCCGTGAGATGTTTGTTTGTCACATGCCAGTTTTTTTAAATCGAATCAAGTATCTTGCAGTTAAACCTTATGTTTATTCAAACATACACATCATCCGGTAATAACATATGTCATTAACAGTCTCTGTCCAATACAGAGCAATGCTCCAGATGTTATCCATTTTTGATGTTAAAGGTATTGGCCATGAATTCTAAGGTCCAATCAGTTTTATAGGTTTAAAATTCAGTTACAGAGGGGCGTATACATAAGATTGCCTTACTTTAAAATATGTGGCTATCTTAGAAAGAGGGGAGTGACTTATCATCATTTGAAATCTTTGATTAAAGCCATACGTTATATTTGGCGGTACGCTACACAGAGAAGTTCTATATGCACGGTAAATGAATAGATGCCTTTAGAAATATGAGCCTTGGTAATACAGAGGGAGACTGGCTAGCAAAGCTTAGGTCAAAGGTTATATAAACAGGCCCTTCATCTATCACTCTTAAAGTGAACCAGATGTGGTCTCCATTCCTATACAATGAAAGTCTGTAATACTGTAGGCCTAGGTATGGCTTCTCAATTTCCGTGTTCTGGAAGTAATCTGAATAAAACTTATAATATTTATATCAACATATTAAATATTTAGTAGTTCATAAAATATTTTTCAATGTCGTATAATTTACTTTAAAAAAATAATAAAATATAGTGAAAAATTGAAAAAAATGTTTTTTTACTTTTGCTTGAAAAATCTTTTACTTACCCACGAAAGCTTATGAAAAAAACTGCTAAATAGATTAATAATTTTGTCCTGAGTTTAAAAACACCCAGTGTTTACGTGCTTTTTTTGCAAGTTATAGGGCTATAAGTACAAATAGGAAATTGCTGTTTCAAAATATATATTTTTAAAATGTATCAATAGTGACATTGTAACACTATTATCTGTCATAAATCTCTGAATAACACCCCACATGTACATATTTATTTTTAAAGTAGACAACCCAGGGTATTCAATATGGGGTATGTCCAGTCTTTTTTAGTAGCCACTTAGTCACAAACACTGGGCAAAGTTAGCGTTCATATTTGTTTGTGTGTGAAAAAAGTAAAAAACGAAATTGAACGCTAAATTTGGCCAGTGTTTGTGACTAAGTGGCTACTAAAAAAGACTGGACATACCCCATTTGCAATACCTTGGGTTGTCTTCTTTTGCAAATGGTATGCCATCATGGGGGTAATGCTCATTCATCATTCCTGGGCTACCATACGCTCTCAAAGGTAACATAACCAATCTGCCAATTTTCAATGTAAAAATATTTGAGCATTATATTTGACCCCGTAACTTTCAAAAACACTATAAAACCTGTACATGGGGGGTACTGTTATACTCGGGAGACTTTGCTGAACACAAATATTAGTGTTACAAAACATTAAAACGTATCACAACAATTATATCATCAGTTAAAGTGCTATTTGTTTGTGAAAAATGCAAAAAAGTCACT